CCAGTGGGCTTTCGTAAGCAGCTGTTGAGAGCTGGTTTTGCGGGTGAGTGTTAGCATACGGCCAGATTGTTGTGGGCACTGTTGCAGGAAGACATTTGAGAGCTCGGTGTGTGTGTGTGTGTGTGGCTACTGAATGTTAGTTAACAAACGATCTTTTTCCTCCATCTGATTTGTTTAACTGTTCGCCCCTCACGCGCTGCGGGAAACTGCAGCTCGGCAGTAGATGAACAGATGCAACATTCTTCTCCAGAGAGTGTAATTGTCTTCATTCCTCTGCCCTCCAAACAAACAAGCGACTACAGTCGAGTCATTTCACACACACACACACACACACACACACACTCCTTAATGCCTCAAATAATCCACAAACCACCCTGAAATATGCAGAGTCCTGAACCTGGCGTTTTTCACCCCCACTTCCCTTTTTTCCAGTCCCTTGCTACCATTAAATTCCTCACACTCAACACAGCATCCTTTCTAACAATGAATCTCACTTGTACGGCTCCCTGATCCCCTTAGCAGCAGATGCACAGAGAGGAATATCTAATAACTCTGAGCGAACACCACCCCTCTCTTTCTCCCCTTCCTTCTCCCCGTGGACGCCCCCAGACACCCGGCAAATGGCCTCAGTCCAGCCCCAGGTTTCCAGCACCGGCCCTGCTCCACTCCACGGATCTCCCCCCACTGCCACACACACAGCTCTGGCCGACAGCTGGCCTCATACCAGGGCAAACGAAAACACACACTATTACACACTCCTATCCTGGGTCGGAGAGGTGGTGGTGGTGGTGGGGGGAGTTCCCTGCTTTGATTGGACAGCTGACTCTGAGCTATGTTTGAAATTTTTCATCTGAACTCAGTTGGAGATATTTAAATGAGGGTGCGTGTGACGCCAAGCTGCACAATTTAGGTTATGAACAGGGAATTTTTGTTGCCATACTCTTTTGAAAATAACTTTCCTTGCTGTGCTGAGAGGGTTTGAGTGGGCGGGTCTTTTGAGATGAAGCCTGTTTGCCTCTGGAAAAACACAAAACATTGTGTGTTCGCTTACAAGCGTGCAGGGTTTTAAAATCATGTCCTGTTTGGTTACACAAACACTTAATTGGACTGCTAACTTGGAAATTACACTGCCGTTGTGGCAAGCCTAGTCTTAACAGAGACCATTAGAGTATAAAGAGGAGGGCTCTACAGATATTACTGCGCCCGTAGAATTAGCAGGCAACAGCTTTTCAGTTATTATATACACATCTGGCTAAAACGATGTGGATCTACCTGAATGATCTTTTTGGAGGATGTAGTCTGTGGTGCTGTTGAATTGTTTTGCATTATATGAGAGGTCTTCCTGTTTTATGGCCCACCCTCGTAGTTAAACAATATCGAGCTGAAACAACTTGTCGATTAAGCAGTATTTTGATAACCCATTAATGGTTTAAATTGTTTTTTAGCTCCTCAAATGTGAGGATTGCTGCTTTTCCTCTGTTTTATATCTTTGTTAACTCACAGAATTTCACTAATATTTGAGTGTAGTACGTTGAACAGAACATGTTTTTAGACGTCACTTTGGGCTCTGGGACCTTGAAGGCAATAATCGGTAGATTCATCTGGAAGGAAACGAATCATGAGTTGCAGCTCTAAAGTATTTTACTGTGAAATCCCAGAGGCCACGCACTCAATTTAATTAATTTACACAAGAAATGAGTCTGCAAACGGTCAGAAATATGGCAGAAGCCAAGTTCCCAGAGCACCAAGTGGCGTCATAACGTTGCTTTCATAGTGTGACCAAGCATCATTTATGGCCATATAACGTGATAAAAAAAAGAAAGCAGCTGACCCAATTTTGGAAACTGCATTTTTAACTTGGTAAATAACTAAAACAACCAACAAAGCAGCAATCGACACATTTTTGTGCATGAGCTAATCTAACTTGGCTAATCCTTTCAACAATCCAACACACCAGATGTTGAATATTTTTAATGGCATTTACTGCAGATTTAAACAAAGGAAATCTCTAAACAAGTCAGGATTATTGTTGCCGCTATTAAAATTCAAAAGATCTGCATCCGAGGGGCAGCCGTAGCCTGCCAGCTCTGTCGCGGCCTTATGAAAAACCATCTCATCCATTTAATCTTGGTGTTTGAGTTGATACTGAAGCTTCCTTGGCACAAGCTCCGGTGGTGCCATCCAAAGAGGAAAAGAGGCAAGTGGCCCGGCCTTAATACTAGACTCATCCAAGACTACAATGCATTTAACAGAAGCCCTGAGGGTCTCACTGGGTGAATAAACCACAAACATGCATTCCTGTGCAGGAAAATGCACAGCAGCCACACAGGGGAAGAAGGGGGGAAAAAATTGATAGAGGAGAGGAGACAGCTCTTTTCTGGAGGAGCGGGTTGGGAGAAAGGGGAGAGGAAGCCGGGGAATGAAAAGGATGGCTGGCAGGCCAAAGTGTTAAAGAGGGGGAGACAAAACCCTGGCTTCAGTCTCGAAAGAAAGAAAAGGCGAGGATTTCACCAGATGATGGACTGAAGGAGGGAGGGAGAGATGAGGATTAGGGCAAAGAAAAGCAGCAGGGATGGGGAATGCCTCCTCATTGTAATGATGATGTTTTCTGAGAAATGTCCCAGCCTTCATACCCGTAGTATTTATAGAACCACTTGGATATTCATCACCACTCATTACAACTTTGCAGTTGCTGATTAGGGGATGTGTTGGCTGAATGGCGACCTGGCAGGTTTTATTCAAGTGTATTATCCCTCTAATATAAGTACCCTGTGACGAATAAACGACAGTCGGTCACAAGATAGGATTGCATGAAATTCATTAAAGATGGCTATTTTTTCTTTTTTCTTTAATTAAACAAGCATTTGTTGGTGTTAACTTATCCTAAATCAGTGCTCCTCCACTCAGAAAACAATGGCACATTAAAGGATTGCTTTGCAGCGTTTTACAACTTTAGTAACGAGCATAAACTTTTCTTGTATCCTTACTACCTTTTGGACGTTTCTTTATCACTCCTCATTTTGCATGCAAACCACAAAGCTCATCCCTGCATAAGAAATAAAAAAGCTCACCCGAAGTCCTGGTCCATAGACTTGAAGAAGAACTTGTAGTTTGGCTTGTTCAAGACCTGTTTAAAATCCAGCAAAGTGATATTTTCGGCAGCAATAGGTATTTTCACCAAATACGGCGTCTCCTCTTCGTCGATGTGATAAATTATTTTGGTTTCTGCCATCCTTACGGTTGCTTTTTTTCCCTCCAACCCCCAAGCTGGGAGTCACCACAAGAAACACACTATGAGGCGAGGTAGCGTTAACTTTGTTGGGTAGTTAGCTAGCGGCGGAGCTAGCTAGGTGGCTAACGAGACGGCAGAGGTGAAACGATGATGGCCACTGAGATTTTTCAGTCCGAGCCAGAGGACGTAAAGCGTCGTTGCCCTGCTCACAAGCTCGCTCTCCGACTTCAGGGAAGCAAAACACTCGCATTCCCGCTGCTACCGAGGGGCGAAACACGACGGACACGCTACATTCACACGACCTAACTACCAACAACTTTTCCCCCAACAAAAACATACAGGGGAGGGGGTCTGAAAAACTTTTCTCCACTTTCTGCGAGCCAACGCGGCGTGTGACGCAATCACGTACCCCCCTTTTCCCTACGTAGTCTCCCAAACCCCCTCCACCCCCCAGCATGTTCATTATGTTGCAGTGTTAAGTATTAAAAAACTTGTTATACACGAATAATCAGCAGTACAGCCACAACTAATATACGGTAATAACACCAAGTTTCATGCAGTATTTATTGAGGAATATTATTGGTTTGATGTTGTTTTTAAATTAATGGGTAATTATTTCCAGTGTTATGTTATTCAAGTTGGCTAACTGGGATGAGAGCACTGTAATTCCCATGGTTTCATGGATTAATACATTGAACCTTGAGTCAGATAAACCACTGAGGGGAAAGAAATTAATCATCAGGAGAAAAATACTAGTGATGTAAAATAAAGTACTTTATTTTTCTGTCAAACTGATATAATGTTATAAGCTTTATGTTTTAAGTATTACTGCTGTTTATACTTTTGTTAAATGGGAGCTAATCACTCGACTGGATTTTTAAAACTCTGACAATGCCTCATACCTCATTAGGAGCTTTAAAACATTTTTAACTACAGCTTTCAGATAAATGCAATGAAGTAAAAAGTACAATAGAGTAGGTCAGGGCAAACTGAGCAACTGCCTCGGGGGCCCCAGACCCTTAGAAGCCCCGTAGGCCTATGTTCAATGTGACTTAGTTGTTTTTTTGTACTTCAATGAGCAGCAAATTTATTTGGGAATGTGCACCACTAAATCACAATATCAACTGAAATAATCCTTCAAGTGGAAACCCAATCCAATATTGCCCAGGTGCCAACAAACAATGAAGTTTCCATCCCTGTATCTGAAATTAAATTGTGCAGTTGTACTTCTACTAACTGAACTTGTACTTACTTGTACATCTTTGTTCTGGACCTCCATTTTTATTAGTTCTATACTGAATTAGATGTGTTGTGGCTTGCTAAAAGTGTCTGATAGTGGGCCACTTGAACTCACGAACAGGGTTAAATATATTTATCTATCACCATTAACAAGAAAAATCATCTACACAGCCCAATAAAGAAAGAGTACACACCATGGTACACACACACACACACACACACACACACACACACAGAAACACATTAGGAGTACCTTACAATCACTTTTGCATCATTATTCTATTAAATGCCATCATTAAAGCCAATAGATTATCTAATCTGGCTTATTGCATCCTCGCCATCACAGCCTGCCAAGAACAGTTATCCACATAAGAAGTCATTGTTCTTCTGGAGGTAATTTAATTCTTCTAATTCTTTATTCTGTGAATGGTTTCTATGATAAGGAAATTAAATTCTTTATCTTAGAAATTGTGTATAAATATCCAAGAGCACAGATCTTTCTAAATGCATTCATCTGACACAGTGTATATGCGTTATGCAGGCCAGCTTTATTCATTTTCAGTCATTAGCTGTATTATAACAGTATCAAACAGGCACACAGAGAGAAAGCACTGTTAGTTTTTAATCCTTTTATTTACAGTTGTGCTCTCAGCTCATCTGTTTCAACATAGACCACTAGAGGGAACTCTTCATCAGTCTATATCATTAATGAAAGAGCAACAAATAAGCAGTAGCGAGTAAAGGCAAAATGTCTATGGTAAAGGTTGGTGTAAGTGGGGGTATTCTACAAGTAAAGTATAATGTGAGTTGGTCCCATTACTACAGGGTGAGTAGCAAACACAGTGGTCAAGAAATCTACATAAAAATATAAATGAAAATGTTTTATATTCTCAAATTGTTTTGTCAACCTACTTTTTTTTACAGTGCATCCCTGTTGACTATATATCATGACTTTGTATTAATAACATATCTGAGTTAAGAGATAAACCATGTTTCCTGTTAAAGATGCCTGTTCAACAGTTGTGGCCCAAACACCACCCCGACCATGCAGGTGATCACAAACACCACCCAGAAGATGACCGCCAGCAGCTGAACACAGAACAGCGTCTTCTTGCTCTGCTGTATGACTTCCTCTTCCCCCACCAGGCCTGGCGCCCCGCCGTACGGCCTGTCCGGGTGCATCTGTTGCACCTGCAGGCTGATGGTGGGCAGGATGATGAAGCGGGTGTCCCTGCTGTCGCCCTCCAGGGAGAGCACCACTCTCTGGGTGACGGTGGCATGGCGACTTGCCATGGCCACAGGCAGGCGGAAGGCCACGGGGGGCAGCCTGGCTAGGATGCGGGAATTGCAGGGTAAGGAGAGGGCATCCCCAGTCTCCAGAGGGGTGAGGTGGCGGCAGAGGGGGCAGGGGATGGCTGGTGGGCTGTGGTGGCGCCCGCTGGGGCAGAGCTGGATCCTCTGGAGGCATTCAGTGCAAAAAACATGGAGGCAATCCAGCATCCGAGGGCATTTGTTGTACTGGTTGTACTCCTGGTAGCAGATGGGACACTCCACATCTACAGGCTCCCCAGAGGTGATGCTGGGGCCTGGTGCTGCAGCAGCTGGGTCCCCTTGCTGGGGAGCTGGGACAATGTCCCCTGTCATGGTAGGAGGGAGAGGGAGTGGATGGAGTGTGCTTGTGAGGTCAATGACGGCAAGATGTGACTTGTGGATTAATCTTTAACAGAAGATTGTTAAAATCTGTAAAGAGAAAACAGTTTTAAGTCTACTTCTGTGAGATTAAGACAACTCCAGAGGCCAATGTTTGTTTTAATGGCTAGAATATGCTCTCCATGGGATGTTGCTTTGTTACGTCTAGGTTTTATGAACAGATTCCACAGCCCATGAGTCATAGCATTCATCCATTTAACCACTCAGCCATCTACCGTCTAACCCCCTCCCCTCTACTTACTCACAATAACTCCAGTTCCATGTAGCGTGTGCTGGCCGCCACGCTCAGAGCACGTCCAGGAACTTGGGAAATGAAAAAGCAAAGCAACAGAAGAGCTGTGAAAGGAAGTAATAAGTCACTGTAAAGATACATCCTGCATGTGCACATGTGTGCGTGCACGTCCATTTTTCTCCACTTGGATTTGTTTTATTTGAGTCATTTAAAGTGGCCCTCGACGGATTTTACTGATTTTACAGAGTTTTATTCAGTCTGTGAAAACAGTTGTATCTTCGGTGGCTCTGGGGGAGCTTTCTAAAGTATGGCAAAATATGGCAAAAGTGTGATGTCATTGGCTTTGAGAATTTTTAGAGGCAAGCTTGTGTTAGACACTGACAGTTGAAAAGAAAAAAGCATATAGGCAAACACTATTGAGTGGCATCGTGGCAAATGTAGGATCCAATGTTTAGGTAGCTTGATCTATACCTTCATAAGTCTTCAAACTTCATGGAAGTGCAACACGAAATTGTTGGAGTGGCCCTTTAACACTAAGGACCATTTGAAATGAGGGTAATTGACACTGAATAAATGTAAACTGCTCAGCCAGGTAGTCAAGGTTTTTGCCGCATTAAAAATTTGTATAAGTGGCAAATATTCAGTTGAAGTCTATTTGCTCTTTTTTGTCAAGAGTTAGATGAGAAGATCGATATCATTCTCATGTCTGACGACTCTGCCATTGTCGGCCTCATCATTGATGATGACGATGCAGAGTACAGAGTACTGACACAGAACTTTGTGGACTGGTGTCAGCGAAATCACCTCCTGATCAACGCGGGAAAGACCAAGGAGATGGTGGTCGATTTTCGCAGACGGCGGTCTGCCCTCCCCCCTCCGGTGAATATCCAGGGAATGGTCACTGAGAGAGTGGACACTTATAAGTAGGCCTGGGTGTTCACCTGAACGACAAACTGGTCTGGACTCACAACACAGATGCTCTGTACAAGAGGGGTCAGAGCAGTCTGTACTTCCTGAGGAGACTGAGGTCCTTTGGAGTGACAGGGCCCCTCCTAAAGACTTTTTATGACTCTGTGGTGGCGTCAGCCATCCTCTACGCTGTGGTCTGCTGGAGCAGCAGCATCACTGAGAGGGACAGAAAAAAGTCGGGCAAGGTGATCAAGAAATCCAGCATTGTCCTGGGCTGTCCTCTGGACTTAGTGAGGGAGGTGGGAGACAGAAGAGTCCTGGCTAAACTGACAGCTATGCTGGACCATGAGTCACACCCCCTGCACTACACCCTGTCAGCCCTGGAGAGCAGTTTCAGTGACAGGCTGCTCCACCCCCGCTGTGTGAAGGACAGATACCGCAGATCTTTCCTTCCAGCGGCCGTCAGACTGTACAACGAACACTGTTGACTCTGTGCAATATATCCCATGTGCCATTATTACATCTGTGCATAATTTCCATAAGTGCAATTTTACTAATTCATGTGCAATTATTGTATAATACAGTTTGCTATATCTGACTTATGTGCATTGCCGTTCTACAATACTTTTATATTACCAGTATTTATTTATGACGCAGGAGACTGTACTGTATAAGGTCTATTTTAGTCTTATTTAACGTACAGTAACTTTGTTTTTATTTACTGTAAGAACGGTACTTCTTTGTTTGACACTTTTTGTTTATGCTACTTGTACACTTATCTATCTCTGCTCTTGTCTTTGCTTACAGCAATTTCCCCCACTATGGGACAAATAAAGGTTTTTGGGTTTTTTGATGTTTGTCTCCTGTCTATAAACAGGAGGAAACAGCTATCCGAACTCTCTCTGGAAGTAAAGTGGAAGTAAAATGTAAAAGGTATAAGGAGTGAATTTTAGAGGTGCAGGTGTTTTTTTTATTATCTTTAAAACCAGCTTTCCCCCTATTCCCAGTCTTTGAAACAAAGCATTAGATTTGCTTTTCTTTACCAACACTTTTTTGTCCCTGTTTGTTGCTCACATGGGACAATTACAAGGCAACCCTAGTTCACTCATGGGGGGATTGTTGCCTAGCAGATGGGGTCTCCTTTGAATTGCTGCATGGCAACACATATCCTGAAACCTTTTCTTACAGTCAACATTCATAGAATCAAGGCAAACAATAGAGGTTAAAATATAGATTTACTCCAACCGTAATCCTTCTGAATTCCTCCAAAATCACAATGACAAACAAGTTGTGAATATTGAAACTAAGATCTGATTGACACGGTTGCTCTGTATAAATGAATGAGCCCTCTTGTATCAGTACAGGCCAGCAGGTTCAGTAGGATTTTTACAGAGAGAAACTGGCAGCGATCCATCATTACACACCAAGAAGAGAGAGCCACTTACCCACCAGACACGCCTTTGATCAGAGCACACTTTGATGCCCACCTCCGACCCAGGCGCTTCCCCTCTCACAGTTCATATTTCCTCTCATGTTGGTGCAGATCTCATCCTGGCTGGAGTGTCTTCCCCCCTCTTCTGTGTGCACAGTTTAGTTTATAGGCCTACCTTAATATTCTGTAGCTATACGAGTACGAGCTTGGCTCGCTGGCAGTCTCCTGTTTTTTGATCCGTCTGACCTGATTGTACTCGTCTCCATGTCTAGTCTCCCCATGAGGCATCTGTGTGGTTTGCTCAGCAGTAATTAAACCCTTGGTGATGTGAAGGTAATCAGGACACACAAGACAGAAAATGACAGATTGGAGCCTCTTGATCCCTACACCTCTTACTTTACTTGCATATTATGTTTTTATGCTTCCGCACAGTCAGCATGTAGGACTTTTTGAACAGCAAAGTGTGGATTAGGGTGTAATTATTAACATCCTTATATTTCTCTGCATTGAAAGTTAGTGTTTAAAAGCCTGTGTGTGTGTGTGTAGTGTAATAAATAAATATATAAAATAGCAATGTCAAATACAACAAGTTCCATGCTTACAACAGGCCCCACTACCGGGGTAAGTTGTAACAATAAGAGTAAAGAATTAATTGCAAAAATTGATCACCTGCCTGTCCCCAAACTCCAAGTACAACTAAAAAATAAGTGCCGTATCTCACGTGTCAGTGTGTGTCAAGAAAACAGTTAATGTGTTCGTATTCTGAGCTATGAAGTGTCAACCTGGTTAATTATGGTGTCTGTTGCATACCTATTGCCAGTCAGGTCTCTTCCCAGGGCGTGAAATACCAACACTTTGAGAAAGCCTGACAAAGCGTCTGTATTTGATACAAAAGGTATGCTTCAACGTCCATATGAGACACCCTTGGCTTTCAAGTAACTTCAATGTAACCCATCCACCGTCACATAATAAGTGCTTATTTCATCCCAAAACCACAAACTTTTCCTAAACCTAAAAGTATTTCAAATGGATGCTGAAGACCACATATCAAAAAAGAGTTTTATACAGATACTGAAGAGTAGGACCTTGTACCTCAAATACCGCCGCTTTGTCAGGCTTTCTCAAAGCGTCAGTATTTGACACACTGGAATGACTTGTTGCTATTGCTTGTCTGTACGTCCTGGTACAACACGGTGTAAGTTGTAACAAAAAGAGTAAAGAAAAATTCGCAAAAATTATCAAATCGCTGTACCCAAACTCCAATTACTACTACAAATAAGTGCAGTGTGTGTCAAAAAAACCCAGTTAGGCTAATGCGTTTATGTTTAGAGTAGTTACTATGATAAAACAGGTTATAACAGGTTAATTATTGACAGATAGGCTAAATAAAGCAGTCATCACCTGCAGCATGGTGTCTGTTTCCTGGTAACCAGTTTGTTTTGTACAAACATGCCCCACGCCTACTCTGCTGTTTTCAGTTAAAACTATCTTTACACTGACAGTCTGATCAAACCACGCGATTAAAAAACTGTTCAGATGAATTTCTACAAGATTCAAAACAAATTAATGGGATTATTGGGAAAGGGAGCACATGTTAAATTGTTTTGTCAATCCCGATTTTCCATACAGTGATTTTATTGTGTTGGTCTATGCACACCTATTGCCAGTCTGGTCTCATCCCAGGGCGTGAAATACCAACACTTTGAGTAGGTCTGACAAAGCGTCTTTGATACAAAAGGCATGATTCAGCGTCTGTATGATGCCCTTGGCTTTCAAGTAACTTCAATGTAACCCATCCACCGTCAAGTAATAAGTGCTTGTTTCATCCCAAAGCACAAACTTTTAGTTAACCTAATGGAGTTTTCAATTGATGCTGAATACCACATATCAAATAGAGTTTTATATAGACACTGAAGTGTAGGCTACCCTGTATATCAAATACCGAAGCTTTGTCAGGCTTTCTCAAAGCGTCAGTATTTGACGCACTGGAAATGACAACTTATTGCTATTGCATGTCTGTACTTCCGGGTAGAGTGATCCCTACGCCGTTGCTCTTCCAAGGTTTTCCCCCTTAAAAGGTACAATGTGTAAGATTTAGACAGAATTTTAGTTTACGACGTTCAACAAATGAATTAACATCATCAACAGACCGTGAAGAAGCAACAGTTCTGACAGACTTTAACAACATTTTGGAGTATGAATTCGACAGGTGGAGAGTAGTCTCAATTCTAAAAGAGCTTTTGTGGGGGAGTTTTTTTCTTATTCAGGTCAAGGGTCAAAGGATAGAATATGTCCTATGGTGTAGAGCCGTGGTTCTCAAACCTTTTCACATGAAGGACCCCTAAACTGACACAAATTAGACAATGGACCCCCCATTTAATAAGATTTTGTCCCAGGATTGTCCATCTGATAGGTTTTCTGCTTTTAGATGTTTTATTACAGAGAGTGTATTAAAACCATGACCGAATTAGTCAAACTTTCTGTCGTTGTGTTACTTACAGTGAAAATGAATGATACCCTTTTTTTTCTGGGGACCCCCTGCAATCCCCTCAAGGACCTCTGGGAGGTCCCCTGACCCCACTTTGAGAACCACTGCTGTAGCTATTGTGAAGGCCCTTCAGGCAAATGTGTGATATTGGGCTGTATAAATAAAACTGACCTGACTTAAAGGGAATGTGCTCAGCTTGTTCCTCTGTAGTTACTTTATGCTACGCCTGACACTATAGCCTATAGTCCAGTCAGGGGAAAACGTTGTGATGGATTTTTTAAGCATTCAGCAAGAAGAAGAAGAAGAAGAAGAAGGAAAAATCACCCAGACACATGGAAAGGCACACAAACTTGACTTTGCTTAAAAGTCAAGAAAATCATTTCTTAACCGTTTCATTGTAACTGGGGACATTTCCTTCCTTTCATTCTCCTCACTTTTTGGAAAAGAGTTCCTTTTACAGTCATCCAGGTTAAAAAAGTTGTTTTTGCATGAAGCCCTTACAGTAAGCCTCAATGCTGGAGGCAAAAGCGGGAAGGTTAGCCAGAAAAAAATAATCAACAAAAGACTATACAAAACACACAGAGAGAGAGAGAGAGAGAGCGCTTGTGATTGCCAAGATTTCAGCGGAAGTAACCATGAAAGGAGTTCATACTGAAACAACTGATAAGAGGAGGGCTGCTTGGGGTTTACCATGACCGGAAGGAGCAAACGTCACGTCTCACACACAAACACTAAGGCTAAACAAACGTCCGAGAAAGTCGGCACAGTCCCGAATCATGTCCTGTTGGTCCCGAAAATTACTACTCAACCAAGTCCAGCTCTTGATTTTAACCTTCCCTTGATCTACCTAATAACTACCTACGTTATTTGTAGCTACCGTTGCTGCAGCAGGGACTGCATAGCACCGTGGACAAAGGCGCTTTGACCTTTTTATTTTCTGGTAAGCCTAAATGAAGATAGTGGTGTTGCTGCAGGCAGCCACGCAGAAATCTGACACGCGCGTTTACACGGACAGATGTGACATGCAACACACCGATGTAATTAATACTAACTAAAGTTAAATAAATAAATAAATTGTGGGCCTATGTAGCCTACGGATCATGATTTAGGCACAACACAGTCATTGTTTTGTTCCAAATGACAGACAGGTAACCTCATGGTAAAAGGTGAGAAAGGTGTGTTTTTACTTTGGCATGTTTTCACTGAATCCTTGAGAGTGAGTGTAACAAACTGGAGGCCACGCCCACCCCCGATTTCACCTGTTACTAATCTGGTCACACTACCGCAGACGTAATTTTTACTGAACTTTAAATAAAGGCTTTTTTATACTGTGTCTTGCATCAGCTTGCCCTTGGCTTTGTTTCTGCTCTGGATAATCCCTGATCGTGGTGATTCACCGGAAGGAGGCGTGTGTGTGTGTGTGTAGGCTATAGTGTCAGCCCATTAGGTGCCATTACATTACGTGTATTTTGAGCTGGGTGACTCATAGGTTATGTTTATTTATCTAAAATCTAGCTAGGCTACTACGAAGCCCTCCTCCTCCTGCTCCGCACCCCGCCTCACAACCTGGGTTAGGCTATAAGTCTGGGCAGCTCAGCTTTCTCTTTATTCAACCCTCGAGGTGACTCGCTGAGAAGCAGCTCACATCAGAAAGCAAGATGTATTCAGAGCTTGAGTGCGGAATTTGTTATCGGACCTATAACACAGGTCGGCGGTGTCCCCGGGAGCTCCACTGCAAACACAGCTTCTGCGAGAGCTGCCTGCTGGCCCTCTCACGATCCCCGGGACCCGAGGAGGCGCGTCTGGGAGCTGACAGGTCAATCGTGTGCCCGCTGTGCCGACACACCACATCCATCTCCGGACAGGGGAAGATGAGAGCCGAGCTGAGGGTGGATGAGTGCGCCCTGGAGCGGCTGCTAGCCGCGGGGGTCCTCGACCAAGAAGAAGAAGAGGAGGAGGACCCGGAGGGAGACGAGGACGGTGATGATCAAGGCTGCGACGAGGAGGCGACGCTTCCCGAGATTCCAGCCGAGGAGAGTGACTCCTTCCCGGGCTCCAGAGGTGGGAGGCTCCGGCGGACTTGGAGCAAAGTTTGGCGGAAGATTAGCGGGAAGAGCTCACGGCAGAGAGGCGGACAAAGTAAGTAGCATACACAGCGTATTGTGGTTTATAATTAGTTTTTCAAGTAGTCATGTTGTTGGGTTAATGTGAGTGACAAACTATTAAGTGTTTTGAAAACGAACATTTTGGTGGGGGGGGGGGCACGAGTCCATTAGCCTATTAGATTCTGTTTTTATTTAAGGCTATGAAGTTGAGCGAATAAGCCACAACTATTTTATTGTTAAAGTAGGCCTACAAAGTTTAGGATTTTGGTTTCAGGTTAAGCAAATGTGTAAACTGTGACTCTGATTCCATAAAATCATCCATTAAGTAGGCCTAGGCTTACATAGCAACATGTTCTTGTTGATTCCCTTATTCATAAAAGTAGCCTAGTCCTGAGATAGGCCAGAGCAGAATACAAGACTTGATGTGTAACTTTTTGGTAGCCTATCCAACACTAAATAGAAAGGTTTATTTAATAAAAAAAAAAACTTGTATTAATAACTAAATGTGTCCTGTTTTTTCTCCTACAGACTGTATGACCAATGACGAGGTGAGGAACCTTGCCATGATGTCCTGCTACATGTTTTAAGGAGTCTACACCTTCAGATACCCTGGATAATGTGATACTATAGCCTATTTATTTTCAATGGTTCTACTACACAACATGAACTTGATGATGATGAAACCTCACTGGCATGGGACATGGACACAGTTAACCATGACTTTAAGCCCTCTGCTTGCTTGATGTAACCAACCACTACATACACTACATGTCATGTTCACCCCTTCATACTTTGATGGCAGTGGCTCCCTTGCAAGGTGCCAACTGCTCATCAAAAGGAGACTAACATTCACATACAACGATGGCACTTTGGGGTTCAGTATCTTGCCCAAGGACAGCCCCCCTCATTGTTAACTGCCAAGTGGTCCTTTTTTAAGCCTTTTAATGCACACATGTTTGTGATATTTATTATTTTTGATGAATGTATTTATTTTGAAATATTTGTTACTTATTTAAGGAAAAATAAATGAGTTCTGTTTAAACTCACTTTGAAGCTTTCTGTGGCTGCATGCTGAATGACATGGTCATACAAAATGGAAAACATGCTTTGGCATTTATATTTATATAAAAAAAAATTAGTTAAGATTTCATTAAACTCTTCTTTTACCTTTTTACAAAATGAACCAATAACAGCTTTGGCCTGTGTGTCTGAGTGTGCGGGAAAGTACAAAGTCAAAATAACACACTGCATTAAGTCTAGGCCTAACTAAAAGCAGACTTTATAAAGTCAAGTTAAAGGAGGAGGCAAAAACATCCTTGTATTTAAAGAAAAATAAATAAAACTGGGGAAAAGATCTCATTTAAAGAGCGTTCAAGGTATTTTACATGAACTGTGCTAAAATAAGAAAAGTACCCTACAGACAATTTCAGGAAGTGGAGGCCAGGTGAACAGCATTAACTCCAATCAGACTCACAACCAGCAACAGAGCGTCAAACCTCAATGACTCATTTGTTTGACAAGTAAAACACATGGATTGACAACACAGCAACTTTTTTTAAGGTCCTTTTTTTTACATTCTAACAAACCTGGGAACGAAGCTCTCCATCATGTTGGAAAATTCTGCTGTCTACTCAAGGTAAATATCACAGTTTACAGGCTTTTTCCCACATGTAATCAAAACAGGGCTGGCGATTGTGACTGACAGCATTACAATACCCATCAATTCCAACAATACTCCTGTGAGTGTATTTTTTTCTCTCTGCAGACTCTTGTTTGCTTTTGTGCTGGTCTGTGCAGCTGTCATGTCGTTTATCATGTATTCAGATGCTGCAAGAGGTGAGTGCTAAACAATACTGCAGCATCTGCAGTTTCAATGATGCTCATCTTTAATAGCTCTCTGAAAAATGCCATGAGGAATGTGTTGGCTGGTTGGGTTAGATAGGGGCTGGCATGTTTGTTTCCTTAAAGCTACAGCTGATTGTTTTTTAACATTAACAAAATATATTTCCTCACTCTCTTTAACTTGGCAAACCAGAATAAGGACTTCCTAGGCAATGTAACAACAAAGTAGAGAAGCAGATGGATTATATTTTAATGAGATTTACAGCAACTAATGTAAACATATTTGGAAATGTATTTGATTTTGCTGCATAGTTAACGGGTTCTATTTAACCAAAAGTAGAAATAAAATGAGCATAAAACAGAAAAGTGACAATTTAATAATTAAAGGGGGAACTTTGACTTGAGGGATTTTCCTCTGGTATTAGTACAGTGTCATGTAAATTGTTTGCCTGCAGCCTAGCATAGAGTTATTTCTTATGTCCCTATTCTTTTCCACCTTTAGCCAGTCCCATAACAACCAAAGTGGACAACAGAGTGAAGCATATTGTCCTCAGACGACTGTTTACTCCATACAGTCAACACCTTTCCCTCTCTACTGGACTGCTGTCAACCGAAACGGGACTCCAGACTGGAACTAATAGTGAAACTGAGACAAGCACAGATTACGGAGAAGCCTCGTCAGTCACTGACCATCAATCAAACCCTCTACGGTTTACAGACGGTAGCTTTAGTTACAATCAAAACAACCCAGATAACAGACACTCCCAAATGGGAATCACTAGAGTGCAGAGTGAAGTGAGGCCAGCAAGTAACATTTTCACCAGCCACTCTCAGCACGGAGGACAAAGCTTTGAGAGACGACAATCCAGAGTAAATCTCCCACTCTCTCAGAGAGTAGCCAAAAGTGCAACTTCTTATAATTCATACCCAATGACCATTAGAAAATCATCTCACAAAGTAGCTTCCAGCCCCTTTCATCAGAGTTCTAGTCCTTCACAAGTTTGGGAGCCCACAGATGCTCAGGAAGTTCTTAGGAAGGACTCTTCACATGTGGCTGAAGATAAAATAGTCTGGCAGCCCTCTGACTCTTCATCCCAGACTGGTAAATATTGGAGTACTTTATTGCCATCTCCAAGAGGCCATTACAGTGTCTATAAAGAGACAAACGAGCTCACTGAGGCCTGGCAGCGGAGTACATCTAGTGGGATTCAATCAAGTAAATTTCCCAGCTCTGCAAGTCAAACTGCCCCTCACGCACCATCAGTCAGCAATAGCCTAGAAGCCTCTGTTATTAAAAGCAATCCAAGCCCAGAAAAACTGACATCATCCATCAGAGATTCTTCCCAGGGGTTGGACTCGAGTGGCAGTGAGACACTAAGACACAAAAACGTCCAGTCGTATCTGTTCAAGGACTCCCAGACTTCTGTTGGTGGGTATGAGACAGGTAATACAGTAACTGGTGATGGACCCAACGCTTTGGCCACAACACCACATAAGCAAAGGCCCTCTGATGCACAAGTTTATGGTAGGTTTTCTTCAAATTTTAAACAATTACAACAGTCGCAAAAAAAAGACCCAACCAACGATGTACAGAATCGCTCTCACTATGCCGCTCCACTGTATCATAATGTTAATTTGGCCAAGTATGGTGCTCGGACAGACAGTTTCACCAAATATCACCGCACCACAGCAGAAACTCTTGCTCAAAACTCTGTACATCACACTCCAGGGAAAGACAACACTGTGGAAATATTTGACCCTATACCTCATGCAGATTTCCAGGGTAACTATGCCACTGGCAGCGAGAAATCTGAAGTTAGTAGCCTGGTTACTGCAGCCATAAGAGGATCAATGCATGCCTACAAACCTGGACAAATCATCAAAGGCCTCTATGGTTTCAGAGGATGTAAAAATGCATCTGTTCTCTCCTCCAGTGGCTGTAATGAAAGGGCCAACTCTCAACAATACAGCTTTGAAAAAGGAAAGTTTAAAATCACAAATAAATACCCGTCTTTGTCATCAAAGTACAGCTTTGGCCAGAGAAAAGAATCTACTTTGACTACTACACCAGCAAAGCTTGAGAGGACACCCACAGTTTATTCCTCACCTTCTACTGGCACTTTAGATATCGCCCAAACCATGACTACTCCAAGGCCGTTCACATCAGGATTTAAGGAAGCCCTGACTCTGATGCCTGAAATTGATGCTGGTATGGGAAGCAACCCAGATCGCGGACAAGGCAGAAGCTATGGTGTCAAAGGATTTGGCCCTCAACCAATCGAGGGAGCCAAAACTTCACTTGGTGAGCCAGAGAAACCTGCCAGAGTCCAGCAAGGCTTTGAAAGGTTTAAACTTAGAAGCTTACAGATCCAGCAACCAAAAAGCAGCAGGATTCACAGGTGCTACAATAAAACCGGTGAAACAGAGCCAGGCAGTAGCCATGTATTCACAGTGAGTCAAGATCAGCTAAGCATTCGTGACCTTAAACCACTTTTAAAGACATTAGGAAGTCCGGAATCAGCTGCCAGATTTACATCTTACAAATACAAGAACCACAAAATCTATAGTTCTGGGAAGTTCAAAGGACAAAATCCAACTACAGCAAGTCACATTATCTCCTCCTCGTATCTCAGATCAGCAGGGGACCTCAAAGTTGAATCCAGCCCAAAATCTGAGCCAAAAATGCTTGACAAAACCAAACCTGTTGCAAAGACGGCGAGCCTTCTTAACAGATCCACCAGCAGTATGGTGAGAGGGACACGTGTGAAAGGAAAACGCATTAATGGCAACAAGTTGAATGACTATACCTCTCTGATCAATGAAACTACAAATGTAGCCATAGTCAGGCTGCCCACGCGGCCTGCCAGCGTCAAAGCTGTCACGTATAAACTGGCAACGTTTGCTGATATTCTTGGAAGTGCTTCGTTCAGTGGTGTCAGAGCTACAACACTGACACCAGTCGCACCGGCTGATAAGGATTATGTTCCAAACACTACAGCTACGACCAAGCAAAGAGAAGGGGCTGAGCATAAAAGAGATAAAACAAGGATAGGTCCTGAAGCACGTGCTGAAGATGAGGAAGACCATTCCAGTAGTGTTGAGGAAAACAAGTTGGGTGTTAAAAGTGAAGACGTTGACAGTGACACGAACACATCAGATTTATTCCTGGATCACGAAGGAAGTGGAAGTGGGGGTTTTAATATGTTTGATGTTTTGTCAGCTGATACCACAGAGAGTCAGGGACTTAGTGAGGATTTGTTAGAACTGGATTATCTGCGAATATCAACAGGGAACATTTCCTTCAAGTCAATGAAACTGTCCCATGCTGAGAAATGAGAGAAACTTGTCATGTTATGTGGAACAATTCCAATAAAAGTTGGAAAAGTACTTGTGATTTTGTTCTCAATGACTGTTTACAGAATTCCTAAACAAAATGACTGAATTAGTGGATTTTTAGTATAAATAGTCTCACACTTTTCTGCGTAAGAAAGTCAGAGGCATTTGGTGTTTTGTATCAAATTTCATAATTATCCAAATCTTCTCAAATGTTGTTAATTTAATATGTAATTCTTAGTCTTGGCAGTAATTGGTTCACAGTAATAGATATTTTTGTAACCAGAAACTTCCTGGAGTCTCTGGTCTCAGCAACTGGTCCCGACCAAGAAAAAAGTCTGGCATTTAACTGGCTGGTGAAACGTTTGTGTGATATATATATATATATATATATATATATATATATATATATATATATATATATATATATATATATATATATATATATATATATATATATATATATATATATATATAATTAATTAATTAATTAATTAGTGAGCTTTACATGTGCCGGTAGATGGATTTTCTTACTTTTGGAGGGAGCAAGCAAGCTGTTTCCCCTATTTCCTTTCTTTATGCTAACTAAGCTAACTGGTTGCTGGCACTAGCTTAATGTGTTATGGACAGTGGTATCCATCCTCTCATTTGGCAAGAAAGTGAAGAAGTCTATTTCCCAAATTGAACAGAATAGCACAAAGAACAATATAATAAAATGCAATATAAATAAAAGTACAGCCTAAAAACTACAACATAAACTGAAAAACTGGAACATATAAGCTTTAAAATGTATGTTAATGCAGAGGCTATTATATAATTGCAAAAGCATATTTAGTTTACTAGCTAAAACAACTATGCTAGTTGAATGATCAACAGAAAATTAAACAGCATCTGTTTTGATAAGTTTTTAATCATCTGAGCCAGGTGTTTGGTGGTGCCTACTACTTTAATTGGAGTATTTTCTGCTTTTCTTCATTGTCTGTGATGGTCAACTAAATATGTGTGGGTTTGTGCACTGTTTGTTAGACAAAAAAGGACATTTGAAGACGTCACCTTGGGAAAATATGATGGACATTTCTCACGATTTTCTGTTGTTTTAATTGGTAACTAAAATAATTGTTGGTTGCAGCCCTACAGTGCTGTCCATTGTGAACATTATCGATCAGCTCAAGGCCTGATTGTGAAAATTAATGTATTGACTTTTCAAATATTTCTGAGATTCCCTCAGCTTTCTGGGTTTTTCTGTACATGGCATTTTTATTACATGACATCCTCAAACTCTGACTTCACACTACTCTCCTGCGAGAAACCGAAACCTTTATGAGTGGAAAATCAAGAGGTCAAACGTGGATTTCTGAGAATAACTGTTGCCTCATTTGGCAAATGATTTGCACAATGTAATGTCAAGCATGAAGAGTAAAAGGGTCACACTGGAAGGCTTTTTATAAATTGATTGCATTCCCATTTCTTGTGTCCTCATTTTCCAGGCAGGCAGTGGCTACTCAGTGTGCTGACACAGATTTTCCATCTCCTCTTTTGAGCTTACAAGCGGGGTTTCGGCATGCTGGTCTCTGGGCTAACATTCTATTGGATGGAAAAACTTGTTCTTTCTCTTTTGTGAGAAGGTCTATTTCTGACTTTGATAAGCCATTAATAAGTATTCAAAGAGTAATTGAAGAAAACAAGTCATTGTGTGGTTTGTTCCTATTGATTTGAGCCATGATGGTTACACACTGTAATGACAAGAATTATGCTGTTATAATCTTAGGCCAATCTGTATTGTCAGGCAGTTTCACTGGCTATGGATTTTACCTGCGGTGACCTGGTCTGTGTTTACACCAGGAGCAGATGTTCCACTAGATGGCGTTACTGATCCATTTTATTATCCCATGTGTGACCTAAAGCACTGGATGTTAGTAGTAGTTCTTCTGCTGTGGTGTCATGTTGGGCAATAAAACTGTGAAGCAAAAATCATTTTCTAAACAAGTTAGAGAGGACAAGATAAACGGCAGAATCATTGTTACTGATTTTGTTCTTTCTGAGCATTAAAAGGCTTATCAAAATGTGTGTTTTTGCTTCCCCCTTCATCAATCAGCGAACGAGGCATTCTGTTCCAGGGGCATTGGGTCCACGCTAAGCCCACATCACAGCTCCCACCAGGTCCATTCACACCACCTGACCCTTTTTCCCAGTCAGCCAACTCCACCTAAATACCAGTTCAATGCTTGTCCTCAATCTACAAGCTCAAAGGGGCCCCGCAGCGAGGAGAGGGTGGGAAGGTCTGAAGGAGTTGCCTGTCAAAGTTAAACACATTGTACATTGGATTAACATCCCCCCGCCCCCACCTACCACCACCACCACCACTTTCCCATAGCGCTGAGAGCTATTTAGGTGACATGATGGTTGGAGGTTTCCGTGTGCAGGCATGTCAAGGTGCTGGCTTGCCGGCTCCTTCAAAGTCCCACTCTTTCTGTGTCGCCTTTTGTGTGGTTGAGTGTTTGCGCGTCTGGTTCACACACTCCCTTCCTCTCCAAAGTGTGTGTGCTGGCCTATAATATTTCCCAGTGTGTGAGTGTGTTTATCACAGACAGTGTGGTGTTCTCTTGCAAAGCCGGCCCTCCTCCCCCTTCTCCTACTATGAGGGGAATTCTTTACCATGTGTCTGCGGTTTTCAGAGAGCTTTCAAGGAAAATAAAGCACAGAGGCCTCACAGCCCCCCCCCCCTCACCTCTTCTTGTTTTCACTCACTCACTCCATGTGGCCCTTTTTTTTAATTTATTTTTTTTTTACACAGTTTCAACCTCCCTTTTTCTCAGACCAGCCAGCAGATATGGAGTGACAGAGCTAATTTCGCATGCAGCCTGTAATAGATACAAGTCCATAATCACGGCAAACATTCTCTTATGAGGCGAGAGAGAAGGGTGCGCGTTCGTTGGTGGGGGGAGAAAGGGAGGGGAGGGGAAGACAGAGAAAGGCCTTTTTGTTTGGCTAAGTACACTATGTGAAAGAGGGGGTGGTGAGGAAAAGAGAGCTGGAAATACATTAGAAAATGGTTGTGGCATTTGTGGATCAGATTTTCTCACACCAGCCCTGTAGAGGATGGAGCAAACCATCGGATCCACTTGGTTTGACCATGACCGTGTGTGTAAACGCATTTTATTGAGTCTACAGTGATTAACTTTGCCCTAAAGCCTCTATAGGAGGAGAGGGGGGTTGGTGGTGGTGGGAGGATTAGCAGAGGCAGCTTACAGTGTACTGTAATACAGTAAGTTTACCTTAGCTAAAACACCTGTAGCTATGTTTATTACAGCAACTTGCCATGGGGAAAACACTGGCTCTACACATACCTCAATCACTATAGATATACTTTCTGTACCTCAACCTCTACTGTATGCTTGAATAAGAGTGAATGATGGGAAGGAAGCAGTTTAGCAGCATGGAATAGTGCCTACATTAACATTCCTACATCTGCTATGGGAGCAAAAGCTATTTCCGTGTCCTACATCCAGCGAGCTTCCTGTGGTCTGCGCCATGCAGGAAGTCATAAGACGGGAAGACTTCCTGTATTGTTGCCAACATGCAGCAATACGGACTGTACATGCCCCATAAGGCCGGGGACCAATGATGTAAACGGCATAGCACTCTCAAGCCTATGGAGGAGGCCAACACATACATCTGATTGGAGATTTATACCACTCGTTTTTTCCCAGTTCTTTTCACAGGGAGACATGTGAAACATGTTGAGACATGTTTTCACTGGGCTTAGCAATCATGTAACAGCCCTCCCTTTAAAATAAAATACACATTGACAAACTTTAGTGTTGTCCATAAAGTCTATAAAATGTACACTGTAAGAGTTAGTGCATATTTTCCAATCACTGCATACCATGCAGGGCAGTGAATGTTCAATACCTTAGTCTCACGTATTCATTTTAAACAAACAAAAAAAAAAGTTCTTCAATACAGTTTATCTACATGTCATCTTCAATGCTCAAGTTGATCAATTATAAGGCCATGCTTCATGGGACACATAGTGAAGGGCTTGTCTGTTGCTCATGCATTTTTGCCTTGTAAACAGTTAAAATAAAGCAATGACTACTTGTGATACCATTATCATCACAAGGGTTTCCTGCAGTGTTTTATAGCAGAGACAGACCACTTCCACTTAGGGACTGTACAAAAAGTATTTAGGGGGAGAGAGTGTCAAAACCAGGGGAGGGTACTAAAAGTTTCCATTTGGCTGAAGAAAGATAGTCTGACTGTATCGGAGTGGTTGAGGATCTTGACATTTTAAATTTGATTTCAGCCCTCCTTTGTAATATAGTTACAATTTACATAAACAGTTGCATCAAGAAGACTTTTTCATGTGATTGTTAAGGCGCCCATGCAGAGGACAAGAGTTCTGCCTCTGCATCAGGGTTTTATTAATGAGTACACTGGTGGGTGCTGCACATTAGAAGTTCCATTTAGACAGGTTTAAATTGGGGACATGATCAATCAAGCTGTACAAATTTAAGATAGTGCTACTGTGCTATTGCTCTGACATGTTGTGGAGAGGGTGTGCCAAGAGGAATGTTCAAAGAAAACATTAATAACTCTGGGGAAGGTAAACAATCCCTTGGGGCAAATGTGTATGTATGCCCTAAGTACGGACATGAGTTATGAGCAAGTGATTTTTCCTTCTCAAGTTTCTCAAATAGGTGGAGCTCTGAAGAGGTAAAAGGGTCTCCTAACAAGAGAAAAAGCAACATTTTTGAGAAAAGCCTTATTCCGTGTTACAGAACTATTTCTTCTTTCTTATCCTTTTCTCCTGAACCCAGGCTGGGAAACACTATTGTTGAGTGTTGACCCTTATATAAGTAATTCATATAAATAAAATCTAAAACATGACCACCAAAAATTACATCATCAAAAAAGCCCAATCTCTTAGTAGCAGTTCTGCAGCTTTGGAGTTTGCCCTGTTATAGAGATTTGGATGTTCAAATTTCCATTTGTTTCCCTGCCCACTTTAAGAGCTTCCTCAGACACGAAGTCCACATGCTGATGACAATCCTGTAATATGATCAAAAGCTCCAGAACAGCTACTCAATGTGTTTTTTTGTATTGGATTCATTCGCCTGTGCAAGTATTCCCGTATCCACCCTGCAGTGTGGAAATAAGCAAGGTTACTGAGTCTGTCTGCTGCTGTGTGCCAATAGGTACATGTAGGTGTGTTTGCACTCAAAGATACAGTATCACACACTCAAAATCAGGAGATGTTGGACCCGCCCGCTCAGACACAACAGGTCCACCTTTTGGTGTTCATCCAGCGCACCTCTCTCCAAATGAACTTAGCGTCCCCTTGCCTTGGCTCCCATCCAGCACCCCTCCTCGTCTCGCCTGGAGATGTTGCCAACGCAGCCGAGGGCGGGTATTGTTGCTGCATGTCGCCACGACAACCAGATGGCAGCTGTGCCCCTTCGCCCGCCTCCTCCATTCTCTCCTCATCCAAGAACAGAGCTGATACGGCTTTTACATTTCCATCCTGCTCCATGTGTACATACAGACTTTGCTGGGATTGAGAGCGTGGGTCAGATGTTAGTTTATCTTCTCACATCAACCAAAGAATGAAAGCTCAGTCTTAAATGTAACTCTGGTGGATTTACAACTTCCCCACTTGCCCAAGGCTGCATCACAAGGAAAAGAGTTGACTTTTTCATGATCAGTTCATTCATTCATAAAAACTTAACGTGAGAAAATGTTTCATGAGGCACATTCTCGCCAATAATCGTAAAAGTCAGCCATGGAATCAGAAGCACTGGTTGTGCCGGTGCATTATGGGGAAAAAAGTGAACAAAAGTTAAGAGAACATGAGCCGTAAAGAGTGTAGGTTTCAGTAACCCTTCACGTGTGGGGGCTTCTTCTTTTACACAGGTGTAACCAAGGTTTGGATCGTTCAACTAACCTTATTTCTATTCACTAAGGAAAGTGAGAGGATCTGCAGGTGCAGGCCTGATGTGTGTGTGTTCTCATTTCTATTAATTCTTACGGTGCCTCAGCTTGGGTTGAGTTACTTGGCCATCTGTGGATGAGGATGACACAAGATCCCATACATGTTAACAATAAGATGCACAGGTTTATCATGCCTAAAAAAAACCTGCGTGGTTAATTATACAGAGTGTTGAGTGAGAGGGTAGTATCAAATCAGACAGACAGGGAGGCCTTTGAGCTCACCCTGCAAACACCATGTTGGTCAAATTACCAGTAAGATGAGTGATAAACTCCGCTGGCAACCTGCCAATGTTGAGTGCAAATGATCTTATCAATGGGTGTGGTGAATGGGACTAACTAAAAAGGCTTTTCCACATTACAGTGTGACATCTGCACTGTGATCGCAGCCTTTCCGAGTGTGAGTCAAAGGTGGCGAGTGTGTGAGGGGCATGAGGCTGCCTGTGTCTGTGGCATTTCATGCAGATGCTCACACATGCTTCAGCCCGTAAATTGTAGTGTGCTGCCCCCCCCCCTTAAAATCAGTAGCGCTTTTATTTTTCTGTCCTAGGCCTGTCACTTTTTCAACAATCATCCACATGACAGCAACCAAAAAAGGAAACAGTCAGTCAGAGAAACAAAAGAAACCACAAGTCCTTTTGTTGTTTGACTTTTTTTCCTTTTAGTCAAGATTTTTTTTTTCTTAAGCAACAGAAGTAAAACTGTCTACATCAATGGCAAATCTCACAATATTCCCATTCAGTACCATCCCTCAGGGGAACAGGAGCAAGAGACATAACAATTTAGAACAGCAGCAACACGTTCCTGCACATTTTATGAACATCTCCAAACTCGCAATGAATTAAATCATACAGCCACTTAAAAGTCTTGAATGGCTGAGCTTTCCCAAAAGAACTTTTATCACAGGTGGCTGTGACCATCGAGCACTTCGCCACAAACAGTCAAAGGATTTTCCAGACTGCAGGCAGATTTGATAAAGTAAAAAACGTTTGTTTCAAAAGTTCATGAGATGCTCAGAGCGTGAACAGGGCTCTAAATGGCAGGATGGTAGTGTAAGCAAGTCAGTTTGGGCGCTCTCTTTCTTTCTTTCTAAACTACAAGTACCCTCGAGCATTTGTGTTTTGCTGAAAACTGCCGAGTTTCAACATGAGAACATCTCCAAAAGACATTAGAAACATTTCAACTAATCCCCATGTGTTTGCCTGCAAGTCTGCATGAAAGCATGGATTTATGTGCTGAATCTGGCTTGAAGTCTAATTGTTTCTTTTCCACTTCTGCATTTGTAACTGCTATTAGTGGCAATTCCAACCCCAGATCCCAATCTGCTCATAATAAAGCTGTATTGTTATGCTCTAGGCCCCCCGACAGTCATGTGACCAGAATGGGAAAGTTCATGAACTTCCCAAGGCAGGCAGACAGACAAACACACGAGTACAATTTATAGCTACATAGATGCACATGTATTTAACATTAGGTTTTTGTTGTTGTTTTCCGTGGTGGCCTTTTCTCTCTCTCTGGTCATATATTTCTTTTCTCCTCTGGTCAGACTTGTAGGCAAATTCAAGGTTAAAGCATACGCAAGTCTTCACTATGACCTTCATCTCCGAGAGTCACGTCACAAGCAGAATGCGAGGCGAGATATGTCACAGTTTCTTCCCCCACACTGCAAATAAAACAACGGGGGAACACAAAAGATTACATTTTTAAAACAAAACAAAGCACTAAGTCCAGATTTGGGAGCTGAAGGTTGCTTCTTGAGGTGCTGTCGGAGCTTAGTCTTTTTTTGTTGTTGTAGGGATTTGGCACGGACAGCCCTGCGACAATTAAGTCCTCCATTAGCGGCAAAGAGAAACAGTCCGAAAGTCCTCCGGTTAGCGCCATGGCTGTCGGTCAAGTCATCTGATAGATCATTGTCACACCGAACAAACATAAACAAGTTATTTTATGAGAACTGTACAGCCAAAACAGACAAAAATAGACTTGATATTTCCTGCTAGGACAGCCCTATTTAGTGCTAGCTGCTAAGACGGGGCAGAGACACAGACAGATAAAAAGGATAGACAGGCACTTAAGTGCTGATGCATAGCGGAGATTAAAGTAAGAGCCAAGCGAAAGACAGAAAGTAGGGAGACAGAAACAAAGAGTCTTAGAAGAAGGATTAAGGGTCAAATCACTTTCAATTCAACCAGTTTGAAAATTAAAAACTGTAAAGTCGTTCTTCTTAAAATGTTTGCTAACTTAACGTATAAAAGACTGAGAACAGATTAGCAGTTTCATTTATTATTTCATACTGACAGTATTGAAATAAAAACTTGACTAGCTTTCCGGCGCTAAAATCAGTGTGCTGAGCTAGCATAAGCATGGCTATAGATAGGGTCTCTATCCTCTACTGTATGTACTGTATGTTATTTAGCATCCTGAGACGAAGAAGATTAAGTGAGACATACGTGTCTGGAGCTAATAGCACTAATGGGATTGCTTTTCTCTATATCAGGGGTCTTGCTCTGAGCTGTTGTCAGCAGGACAGTTAATTTACGTCCTGGCTCGATGCTAATATCTTAATCTGACCTAGCTGGCTTTAGCTTACTAGCAAGCTACTGAATCCCCTGCAACAAGTGCCTTTTGTTTCAAGCACGTGTGTTTAATACTTCAGGTGTGTGGCTCTGTTAAAAAGTCAGAAGAAAGAGAAAACGAGGATTGACGGAGTGCTAACAGCGGCTACGCTAATATTTCTCACAGTAGACAGGAAGGCCAGCAGATTGCTAGTACCATTATCATTATTAATGTTAGTGAAAATGCTGCATTAATGTCATATCAGATTTATTGTGATTTCCAGGTTTCGACTTGTAAATGTTGTTCTTGTCTACATCCAAGTTATGAATTATGAATGTTAAGAGTTTTATATCCAACTTGGCGCGCAATGACAAACAAATGTAGTCGAAATACTTAAGAATGCAACATGTGAGCCAGAGTCTGTCATTCAAGGTAAATAAGCCCAAATTTTGTGGATACAGTGTTAAATTGACCATTGCGTAGTATTTTTAACCCTCACACGACCAACTCTGTAATCATAAAACTGTTGCTCACATATTAACATTGGAATCTTTCTGCAATTCATCCCATGTGACATGAACGCGGCAAAAGCTCACACCAGTGCTTCCCACTTTATATCTTCTGCTGTTTTTTTTGTTGTAACTACATCAAATCAAGCACAAAAAAATACCCAGTGCCTCAGTTAGTTGAGGCTAAGTTGGAGTTCTTCGTAAAATGGCTACAATCTGAAAATGAGGCACTTTTTGAGCTGATATATAATTGTTTTTATTTTCTTTTTCATACACTAGTCAGCCACCAGTCGTAATGATTATGAGTTTTTCTCTCCGATCTCCATAATTTTTTTTGTACCCTTCTCTGATTGGCTTTCACTCAAGGAATGAGAGCAGCAAATGGCTTTTTCAAGAACGTCATTTGGCACACATCCCCATTGGTTTCCATAACCAACAAGATGAAAGTGAAGGAGAAAAAAAATGCGTTCAATCAATCTCTATCAAAGTGCTTCAGGGGTGTGTACGATCCAGCTGCTCTCTCGGTGTGATTGGTTGTCACAAAAGGAACAGGCGGAGCTCTGAGGCTCTCTGAGCGGTACCAGATTGTTTCCCGAAGGACGACACACTGACATCAGCACTCTGGAAGAAAAAGAGACAGCAAATAAGGAAATGGTTTGGTAAGATGCAGAACAAACAATAACCCAGATATGAACAAGAAATAAATATTTACATGTACATACGGCGTCTGCTGCTTATCAGGTTAATTCTAATATCAAATGTAAGATATCAGTGTCTGCTTATCAGACTGGGAACACGGTGACCCTAAAACGAACAACAGGAATACACAATAGAGCTAAATAAAGTGAAAAAAGACACAGACAGGAAGAAAGTGATAACGGGAACAGCGGAGGAAGGAGAAAGTGAGGACACCTATTGCTGCAGGCGCAGAGTCAAGTGTGTCTGTGTGTAAGCACGAGGGTGAAGAGAGATCCAGAAAAGGTTTTCTCCGGCAATTTCAGCATGACACATGACATTGGATATGAGAGCACACAGGTGTGTATCGTCAGGCAAACGCCACTACTGTAATAATTCAAAAGGTCGAGTCTCACCCGCACATGTCAGTCTTTCGTGGTCTTGCTTGCACAGTTGATTGGATTAAGCAGAAATGCAGAATTAATGGTAATTCTGCTCCAGAGTAGAGGGAGCAGAAGAAACACATGGCGCCAGGGAGCCATCTGCTCGTTTTTACGGCTCGTGTACTCCTGTGTGATTTTAGGGGAATTGTGAAATTTTTGGTCGTCAAAAATAGTGGTTCTAACGGTGGATCTGTGGGACATGTCCACCGACAGCTGAAGGGGTAAGCGTGCTTTAAACAAAGTGTTTGGAATCGCTGAACGGCGCCTGAAACCAACCTCCTCCAACACCTTTCCATTGCCATAGTTGCCCGCATCAACAGTCTTCCCCAGCCGTTAAGGCCCCCATAAACTGGGCTATTTTGGGCAAAGAAAGTTTGCTAGCCAATTGAAAATAGTCGTGCCAGATTGCACTGTATGATACTTCCAAAGACACAACAGGCGTAAGGTGTTGGGAGCCCTGGGAGCCCAACAATTGTTTGTTTCATGTCACGTACTGTAACATAGTGGAGGACAGCTGAAAGCCTCACAATGTCTTGACAAAAACACTATTTTTATTGCTCTGCCTCTTGGCCAAGTCACACCAAGAATTTACGACACTATCATTGCCTAATTCATTTTGGGCCTGGGTCAAAATTCTGTGTCAGAAATTTAGGACTGAATTCTCTCAATGTGACTGTGGTGGCTTTTTAAATCAATGACGAGCTCATGCTACAGTTCAGATTAGGACCTTGTTGAGCATGATTACAGTATAATTGCTCTGTCACGCCTGTAAAGGTTTTGTCATGTATGTTACAGAGTGAGAGTGAGTGAAAAATGCAAAATAGTGGGTTCTACTGTTTGCATAACAGCAGGATCATGACAACTATAAAGATTAGTCGATGCCCTTTAAACTGGGTTACTTTCTGTCAGATGTGATGACTCACACCAAAGGCACTCAGGCTGCCGTCAGCCAAAATAACAAATGCACAAAGCTAGTAAAGAGAACAGGCTGAGAGTTCCCTGTCCCTCTTTCCCTAAAATTTCCCAGCAGCACTTGACTCTCTAATTGCATGAGGGTACTCTATATTTACGCCCCTCCCACTCTCTCTCTCTCCAGTTTGTCTTCATCCTGGTGCAGTGAGCTATATTTAGTCCTCCCCTCAGTACAGACGGTGCCCGCCAGCCGGCCAAGCCATGACGGCCTAAAGCGGAGCGAAGCGGCTCAGTCATTCAGGCAGCCAGCTCGAAAACAGCAACACAAACAATCAAGCCAGCCAACCAAAGGGACCGGAGGAGACAGGCTGGACACGCACTGGTGCACTGCCATGGCCACACACACACACACACACACACACACACACACACATACAGAGGAAGATACTATAATTATGCGGATGACATTCACTTAATGATGACCTTTCCCCAAACACAGACATGGGAAATTATAGAGGGGGAACATGCTAAACAACTCTCCAGTGCCTCATCCTAATTCACAGACTCACATGCACTCTCTCATGCACAGGAAACGTTCCCACTCTCATCAGATATTGCTTTCTTATTTTCCCCTGAGCTTCCTCTTCCATCAGTCTGACCCTCCCTTGGCGGTTTGTCTATCAATCTCATTCATTTCCTTGCATCATTTCTTCGTCTGTGGGCAGATCGATGTAATAATGACCATGGTAACGATTGTGTGAGTGTATGTGTGCTTGTCTTTCCCCCATTTTTTTGTGTTTAAACACTGTTTAAATGTAGAGGTTAGACAAGGCTATCTGCCTCCGCAGTCCGTGTCTAGCCAATAACTCTAGCTGCCTCGGTGTGTGTGTGTGTTTGTGTGTAATTAGGAGAGTCTGGGTCTATGTGATGTCTCAATCGAGGGCTGCTTAAAACTGAAAGCCACCCTGTTCTCCGGTCGTAAATTGAGTGTGTCGGCCTGTCATTTTCATGCTGCCCCGGCTCCCACAAGACACAGAGCTGGTATAAGCAACATGATGTGAGTCACCGAGTGCACTGGTCACTCAGTCACTTTGGGTTAAATCATATTTTAGTTTTAAGGAAAGTGGGCAGACCTACACCAGGGACATTAGACTCCATCATATGGTCACAATACATGAAATGAGAAGCTGGTGAAAGACAAAACAGCACTAAAAGCAACCAACCTGCATCAGAACAGAAAGCGTCTGCTGTGGTTCTACAGACTTTACTTGGGAAAAGACGAGTGAGAATAACTAGAAATCCCGTGGTGTTCTCTATATCTACCTATATGTGCTTTGCATTCAGGCAATAAACCACAGGAGTCAAGCGCCACGTCAGCAAGCATCCAACCTGCAGAGATGTCTTTGTGCATGATACCAGATTCCTTCCAGCTCCAAGGGAGCAGCTATGTAGCTAACCCTGACCTCCGACCTACACATTCAAGGAAGCAAAGAACTTTATCCTGGAAAGTACCATAATAAGGATGTAAAAATCCCAGCAATTCCAATCCCAGTTGTTTCCGCGATGGCAACAATTTTTCCTGCCAGTAACTTCAGCTCTTGCAATCCTCCAGTGCTGTTATTACACTTGATTCCATTAAATCATATATCCTGCAAGCAGGAAAGTGGGTAAGACGTACAACTGCGCAACATGAGCCGGGGTTCAACGTCAAAGACAGCTGCAGATACACAGAACGAACACCGGCAGACTGAAGCAGCAGGATAGCTCCTGTGTCACCTCATTTAATTTCTAGCAATGACGCCAAAGAGTCTGTCGGTTATGAAGATATAATGTTTGCAGTGTGACCACATGATATGTGTCTGATTTCGCAGTACTTATTCGTTAGTCATGAATCCGGGACGTCTGTGGAAGACAATGAGATTCAGGCGATACTCCCCCAAAAATCTATCTTTGAGTATCAAACAGTTGCCTCCTGTGGGCTTCAAAGGTGGCTGTAAAGAGTTTTAAAATGGCTTCTTCGTGGAGGGGCAGCAGCTGTAGTCAGTTTGGATTCACAATGGGTTGCAATGACCCAGATTCACAGTGAAACAAAAGTATCAAAACATCCATAGTAACTTTTAAAACGACCCCCTTGCGGTCCAACAATCATCACGTTCCACATGAATAAACTGCTAAATACTTCCATTTCATTCCTCATGTATGACCATGCTTAAGCTAAAACCTTTTTACTAGTCTTCCATTGACCAATTACTCTTTGTTTTGAGCTGGTCCGACCAACGGAACAGCAGATTTGATGATTCGTGCACAAGCCAAAGAACACACTGGTCACAACCTCCACAAGTTAACGCACACGTTTTTTCATAAGCTCAATAGGTTCTTGCGTAAACATCGGAAGGGAAAAAGTATTGGTTCCTTGTAAATCTATGGCTCCCGGTTAGAATTAGAGCTGCAGCAGTTAGTTGATTAATAAAACAGAAAAGTAATTGGCAGCTAGTTTTATTATTAATTAGATCGTTTTCATTTTTTTAAGCCAAAAATGCCAAACTGGTTCCAGCTTCTCAAATCTTAGAATTTGCTGCCTTTCTCTGTTTTATAAACTGAATATCTTCATAAATCATCTAAAATACACCTGAAGATGTGACCTTGGGCTGTGGGAAATCATATGGGCATTTTTTCAGACACAAATTTGTCGATTAATGGAGAAAATAATCTGCAGATCGTTAATGATGAAAATCAAGTTAATTATAACAAACCCTAAAACTTTAAAATCACCTTTAAAGTCTACAGGGAAGGAGTATTTGATAGTCAGACAACAGACTTTGAGTACCAGCTTTCACATTTACTCCTTTTGACTGTGAAGGGAACTAACTAAGAGAGAATACATTCAACCAGTTTAATAGAAATACACCGATGATATAAACAGATGTGAAGACATTTTTAGAAAAATAAAAACATAGCAACGAAATTGTGAGAATAATTAAAATAAATTACATCCAAAATAGTAAAACTATCTGAAAACCTTAATATTTAATTGACAACTGCGACCACGTTGACATTTTTTAGCTTGATGCTGAGTTAATAATCAGTGACAAATTTGCAAAACATTCCTTGTATGTTTTTTTTTTCCCCACTGTCCAAACCAATGTTACTATTAATTGGATCGGCTGTCCTGAACAGGCACGGGAGCCGCCAAAAAGACTATTATGTTTGCAGGAACAGCAGCAGTTTGTTTGGAACAAATACAAGGAGAGCCGGCTACTGGGTGAGCATCGATCATCGGCAAGACTGAACACATGAACGGAAAATCCGAGGAAGAAGGCCCTGCAGTAATCCCACCGTGCTGGACTGACACGTGACTTCTGGGAAGTGTAGAACACGACCACATTAATAATGTTGTCTTTTACAGAAAGTTAAAGTGATAACTAGACAACATCCCCTGGTCCCACCCATAAACGTCCGACTGGAAGCTTTTTATTGTTTTAAACGCCCCCCTTATGAGAACAGCGAACGCAGCACATTTTCCCTTTATGTCGAGCTTTAAATTTCCATACATTACACTACGCAGTTGGCAGAGGAGAGCAGGTTGTGTGGGGTTGAAAGACGAGTGCTGTGTGTGCTTATTGCACTTTCACGCACACACTCTATCCCGCCTTTAACTCTGCTGCTGTCAATCACACTCGCCGCAGCTACAACGTTAACAGGCTATTATGCAGGGGTGTGTGTGTGTGTGCAGGTGTGCAATGTGTACAACAGTGTGTGCGGGGGTGCAAGGGAAAAAAAACCCCACAGGTGTTCTGAGGATACATAGTGCAAACACACACCAGACCTCGTTATGACGTTAATGAATTCTCAAGAGAAAGGTGGTAAAGTGAGCCAGTGAGAAAAGGCCACAAGCAATTTTTACATGACATATTAAAAGCTTTAACCCATTAAATATTGTAATTTCTGTCTGCGTTTTGTCAGATTTCTGGACACGACTGCATATTTCAAGTGTAAAAACAAAGGGGACGAGGCGGCAGGGTAGGTCTTATTATGCAGCGACACAGTAGCAGAAACTGGGTGGGTGTGTTACGGCACACAGAGGAGCTGGAATGTGTGGGGACAGGAAGAGACAGACAGAGACAGAGCAGCAGTGCTGAGTGGGGAGAAAAAGGGGGAGAAAAAAAAAAGGACTTCTGTGGGAGAACCGCATTCACTGCCCATGTGCAGCTTCACATCTGAGTATTTTTAGACCACCCTTGAACAAAATGCGAAAGTCCAGTTTGCATTCGTTATCCGGCCAGAACACTGGGTGAGAATGTGGGCCTTAGGTTGTAAGTGGCAGAAGATTTTTGCAATTTCAAAATATACAAAGAATGTGTGGACGCTGCTGGAGCATAAGCTGAACCTTACACTGTCGCTGTCGTGTGTGTGTGTGTGCGTGCGTGCGTGCGGGGTCTCCCAGTCTTGTAGTGGGTGGTTTACAGACTGCAACTGAGCTAATGGTGCGTTCCAGTTGACATGGGAAGTCGGAATTTCGGGGGTTCAAGGGTCAAAATTTCAAAGGGAACGCCCCCTTAAATCGGAATCCCGACTTGGGAAGTCTGCACTGCCCCGACTTTGTGATCCAAGATGGCTGTCGGGGTATCAACACTTAGTGAAAGCTGTGGTTATACTGTTTATTATTGTGACTCATATAAATGTTTGTACACAAAGTGCTGTCCAACAGCTGTTGTGGACGTGTTGCTACAGTGTTTAGTGTGAGTAAATACCACACAATGCGTTTTTTTTTTTTTTTTAAATCAACCGGCGAATCAATAGCTAACCTGGCTTGTTGTCAACAAACAGCTGGCCGAGCGAGGTTTTCCGACTTGTTGGGCCTTTCCGAAACTGCTTGCTCCTCCCTCTCCCTACCTACTTCCACTCCGTCTGCGCGTTCATGCGGAGGCTCCGCCACAATGACGGCCATCCGAAACCAATGAGTGCGGAGTGGTACGATGCTGGCTTGTTGAAGGTGTGTAACCCTTTGCTGCATGATGGGGGACCCTTCTTTCATTTGCGTTCCGTGTGACTTTGCCGGTTAACATGTAGGATTTTTTATTTCGAAACTACACCAACATTGCATGTCACGTCACTTATTCACAGGTTAACAATGTAGCCCAAAGGTTATATTGTGTTTAATAAAAAAATGCTCTTGTCTGATAGACAATACAAAGGCTGTCTTTATTGAATCATATTCATCTTATACGAAAATCTTCCAAAACAAAACAAAAATAGCCTACATTAAACAACAGAATAATTCAACATTGACACAACGGGATACACAGGGGGATTAGACTATGTAACAAGCAACAAAGGCATTAAAGAAAAATAGTTAACCTAAGTCTTTATATAGGCTATTTCAATATAATGTATAAATTATAGTGAAATGTTGTATTTGTGAATGGAACATTTTTCATATAGGCTAAGATTAAGAGGTTCAAATAGCCCATGTAGGCTTTTCTTTATAAAGAATATCAAATCTTTTCATGAAAGAATATACTAATATTCATTTTTCATAAAAATATAAAGTCATGTTCTTAAAGAAATATTCGAGATGAACACAAACACAAAATGAATGACAAATGCTTTCAGTTTCGTTATTGTAAAAAACACACTTTTCCTCAACATCAATCCTGAATCTTTATACAACTGTTATTTATTTGATACGCATATTATAGCAGTGAGTGCAGCTGTAACGTCAGATCCTATTTACGCTGTGGGGAGTGGGTAGTTCATCCGAAAGTTGTCGCTGTATTTAAACCCTACGCGGGTTAGGGAGCTCGATTTGGCTGTGAGGGTGACTCCGACCAGAGTTCACTCGTGTCGGAGCGGAAGTGGCGAGGGTCTAGTTTCGGAAAGGCCCCTTAACTGGAACGCCGTCAACTCGGGTGTGACGTCATTCCCCGCTCCGACCTGCGATCATAACACAGACTCTGGTTCCAGACACTTCAATGTGAGAATGCTGCTTTTCTTGTTTTATATCATTGTAAATTAAATATCTTTGGACAGTTGGTCAGAGACTTTTAATGACAGCTTAGAACTGTGATGGGCTATTTTAGAGACTTAACAGTCATTTAATCAACAAAAAATCTTCAAATGGATGGATAATCAAAATAATCACAACTTTTCACCTCCCTGTATGTCCGTACAGTGACAGTTTAGCCCAAATGCAGAAACGTCCTTCAGTGGTTTAGTTGTAAATGTAACTTTTAAAATATGGGCATCCTTGTGTAACAGAAACTGGCTACTGTTCTGAAATCTGACATGGGACGTCCTGTCCCTGGACAGGACACACAGAGCTAAAGCCAAATGGGTTTTGAGGAATGTTATCTCATTCACTGTCTCTCACACACACACTTTCAATGTTTGCTGACTCAGACCACCGATTTCTCTCTGTGTCGCTCCACCAGTTCGGCCACTTTCTGCCATTGTGGCGCTCCAGAACGATCACACACACACACACACACACACACACACACACACACACACACACACACAGGCGGCGTCTTGAGTGAAGTGATATACAGAGTGATAGCATAAGCAGGTGGGGTCCTCAGTTCAGAGTAAGGCTTTTCCCGGAATCCCAGTGGCCAGCTCGCTCCGATTAACAAAATGAAACACAAGAAGCTGTTGCACCATCTTTAAGAAAGGCAGCTGAGCGACAGAGCTGCTGTTGAGACATCTGTTTACCGTCATACTGTGTCAGATAAGCATAAGAGTTAGCATCATTACTGTCGGGAACATTATCTGACTTTTGGAAAGTTGGAACATCTCGACGGGAAGGTATATCTTTTGAGGAAAAGATAAATCTTCAGTGAAGTAGTTTCTTAATAAAAGGCATGCCATGATACTTAAATGGTTTAACTGCATCACAGTTTTCCTAGGATTGAAATATAAAACATAGTTTCTTAAAAAAAAATAATAATCAAAAGTCCATCTTCAGGGTTCTGAGACTGATTAAAAGCTAAACTGCTGTCAGACGACAGCCTATTGGTTTTGAGATTGCATGTCGGCCAATGTGTTCTGCCTCTTTTGCTCTCTTTTGTTTACCTACGTGCAACCAAAGTCCGCTCAAACGTGATTGGTCAATACTTGGACTACAATTGGAAACCAGAACTCTTCTGATCCCAGAATCTGTCCTACAGACTCTGCATTCCTATGCAGATGTGTGTTTATTGAGATTAGCTAGTAAGTGACTGTAAATAATAAATGTGGCCCTCACTTACCTATTAAACCAGATTCACCCTTGTTGTCTGACTGTTTCACTGAGTCAGAAGGTACAGAGAACAACTGACAAACCTCTGGACTCGCTGACAGTGTGGAATCTGGTTTGCATTTGGAAATCATGTCCCGTGTGTTTAGAAACTGATGCCAATCTGTGTTTCACAGTGCCTGCGAGTGCGCGTCCATGTGCCAGCTTCTGGCCTTCGCTCCAGTCTGAAGATGAATTGTGTAATTATTAATAGACACCCATGCCCCTTCATACTGCAACAGCACAAACGCACACACATCAGAGAAGATGCCCCATTTGTATTAAGTTACATGTTGCTTTATTAAGGGCTCTCGGTTTAGAGGGGAATAACCAGGAGTGTCATATGTGTGAGTGTGATAGCTAGAGTTAAGGTGTGGTTGAGTGTCTATATGTGAGTCGGTGTGTGTCTGACTGTGGGTAGACAGCTAGACTTGGCCAACAAGTACCGCAAATATTTATCTAGGAAACTTCTGGAGGCTCAGCTAGCGAGGCTTCTCGTCTTGTCCTCGTCTCCACAGGAGGTAAAAGACATTTAGCAAGAGAGTCTTCTTCTATTCTCCATGTCCATCCTGTTTTTAGCCTCCCCGCCACACATTTTTTCTATTGTTTTGCTCTACTCCACCAGATTGGATGTGAAATGAAAATATGACCAAGAGGTGCCGACTTCCTGTTCCACCTTTAAATCTGCACTAATCAATATTTTTGTATTAACAATGACTACATGGAATGTGAAAAAGGAGGGTCGCTCTGTGGGGTGAACCCACAGAAAATCTCTACATCCAGTTATTGAGCCAGAAATTTTCCTCAGAAAGAACTGTAGAGCAAAACAGCACTAAAGGTGAACTGTAAAGGCAGGAGTAATATTCCTTTTTATGGCATTTTTGAACAGTGCAGCAGGACAATGACATGGCCACGTCTCCACAAAGACCGGTCAACCAATATGGATGTAAAAACCCTGAAATTAAACCCCACAGTGCCCACAAGGTCCCCACATCACAACAGTCTTTTCATTTTAGAGCTAATGTGCAGGAGCAAAACCAAAAAGACATAATGTCACAGAAGGACAATGAATTGATTAAATTACGTATACTCATACTTGAAATGTTTGCTGACCATTTTCAAATGTAAGTGGTACTGTTTTGGATTTTTGATGCAGTTTTCCTTCTGTTTCAAACAGCCACTGGTTTCCATTCAGTATTTAAATCAAATGACACACTCTTTATACTTGCTTCAGTTGTATAATCCATCATAATGAACATAAAGTCTGCATTTATTTTTGATAAAACCTGCTGCATAGTGCAGTTTAACTAAGCGACCCCACAAAATAATGTGACTTGGGACAAAAACTCCTGCAGGTTTGATGTTTACTACAAAGAATTACAAAACCCAAGTGTCTGGTAATAGTGGGAAAATGTTGTGAAAATACATTAAATAAACAGTATAATATTACATTTATTTAGCTGATGATAAAAGCTTATCCAAAGTGACTTGCACTGCACACAATCCAAAACTACTGAGTGGCAGCTGAGTCGTAAACAAGCTGGCAGTAGCAGAGCATAGTGGACCAACTGGGGTGTATGGTTAGACCACGTCCTGGAAGTAGGATGGTCCCGAGCCATGTTTTGCGCCATGCTAAGCTGTGATGTAAAGTACATGTGATTTGTAAGACACGCAAAAACCACAAGTATGTTCCTTTAATGTCTGCTCTGTGTGGGATTTCTGACATAGTGGGACAAGAATGGAGACGGGCTGAAACAAGAAAACGACTTAAATAGAGACACGGTTGCAAGTGTCCGGCACAATAACACCAGGACACGCTGGTCGGGTGCGTAATGTATGAGTCAACGGACCACAAGCCGTTGGGTAATGCGCGCGCGCGTGTGTGGAATAGAGCTGGGCAGCGAGGCGACAGTGGTAGCTGGCTTGGGTCATGGCTGCACAAGCACATTACTACAGCTTATGGCTAGACACGCACACACGCACGCACGCACGCACACGGCGAACAAATACTCAAATCATGCAAAGAAACAAAGTACCCCAATGTGATATTTTTCTCTGTAGCCATATTCTCTCTCACACGTGTATCAAGTCAGATCCCGGTGGACCTGAAGTCCCCACGTCATGTAAATGAGCTGCATGATGAAGCATGGTCGGTCAATACCTGTGTGTGTGTGTGTGTCCATATGCTGTTTTGGACAGGAGGTGATGATTCATATTCAGATACTGCTGCAAAAAAGCCTTTAGCTGCAGGATCATCAGCACACAGTGGAAAGGGACACGCTGTCGCTAGGACGCGGCGAGCGTAAACACGTGCTGATGATGACGACGATGACGACGACGACCACGTGCTCACACCTACAAATATAAATCAACCTGTCGCACACAACGGGGGGAACACGTGCAAACAAAAACTCATGTCACCTTTCTTTCAGCTCCACAGGATGACAACTGGTCATGAATACAAACAATTCCATTAATGGCAAATGAAATTCAGCAGGGAGCATAAACAGTAAACACAGCGTGCGCATGCACAGATATATAGAGCCTCCCGACTCCGTCTCTTGCACACGTCATTTCGACTTGTTTGTTCTTGACCACGTATGACTAATAAGTAAACAGGAGAGTTGTGCGCATTTCATTTCCTCTCCTTCTGCAGATTCGAGGCTTTTAATGCTCTGGTTAGGCGCTGTGACGCCTGCAGTGGAGAAGAACATTGTGTTAACAGAGAGAGCTGAAGGGCGAGGGCATTAATTCTCATTTCCAGAGATGTTGTTTGTCCGGGCAGCAGAAACAGAACATCAAGTTTACCAGGCAGGGAGAAGAAAACGACAATGTCTACTCACGAACAACAGGTAGACATACAGCCAGCAGTACATACAAGGCTTGAGTCCACGCTGCGGGCAAACACACCTGAAACACCTAGATCACTCAAATGCACGTGCAGAGAAATTCAAGCATATGTGCGGTCATTCACTCGCAAACCGTCAAACGAGATGGTTCCAGTTTGTGCCAGACAGGTGTGGTTTCCACATCATTTAAATTTGGCACACATCGCTTGAGTGGCAAGAATAATAAATCATGACTGGTAAAGCTGGGCATAGCTTCTGAATCCAAATGAAAAGTTATTTTCTTTCCCAACACCTCAAAGCTGATGGAAGTTTGGCCTTATGATTGATTAAACGCAACCACAGACTAAGGCTGGACAGGCTTTATATGTTGCTCTCATTTGGTATTTAACTGTCTTGTTCATTCCTACTAGAACTCATCCTTTGCAAGCAGTGTCACCACAGTGTTTGATCATCAGCTGATCGGGATTTAATGTCTCTGATGTTTGCAGCAAGACCAAATGGAGAACACACATTCATCTCATCTGTGGTATATTTCCTAAGACGCAGGTTCACTCTATAATTAATTCCTGTTAGTTTTGCGGTATGAAGTTGTCCTCCGTGGATATTTATGGGCTGTTAAATTTAATTGCTTACATTCCTGCCAAAGTCAGTAACTAAGATGTCTTAAATCGACTTTCAGATGAGTCACTGATAAGATTTGGGAGAAATACAGTTTTATGCCTCTGAAGGATTATTTGTTTTTATGCATATCTAAAGAACAACTAATGATACAAAGCTGACTAATTACTTTTATTGTCAACTGACGGTACATTTAAAACTGTCCGATAATGAGCAACCATGACTTGGTGTGCATGGCTCTCTAATAAGAGTGATACTAGGCCTTAAAAGGGTTTGGAGGGCCCCGTTTTTAGATTTACCTAAACCCACAACACAAGCAGTGTGGATTAAACCTTGTGTTTGTCTGCTTTAACATGCTCTGTCCTGCTCTAGCCTTTTAGCACAATATAATATTTGTGGCCATTAAGTTCATATTTAAAACCCTTTTACAGGGTTCTTGTGTTTTAAAAGTTGGAAGTTTTAGCGTAAGCATTCCCTTACGCTAGCTATCTACACCTTATATCCACAGTCAACAGCCAGATATAGAATATAGAAATAAGAAGCTGCTTTGGTTTACTTTTATGTGAAACCGAAGACCAATTGTCTCAAAAATCAACACAAATGTTGAGTAGTAAGATCGCTTATCATTAGGAAAGGTCAATTATTCTGTCAATTAATTTTTAAAAGTAATTATTTAGCCTATAAAGCCTAAAGCTAAAAGATATTTTAGCTTTCGGATATAAAACAAAAGAAAAAGCAGCAAACATTCGACAATAAATTACTTTTATTAATGTAAACAAACATTTAAGAATTTTTAAAAAGCGTTTAATTCCTCTTCTGTCAATCAACTATTGATTAAATTGGCTAATGGTTCAGCACTACAGGGTGCAGACTTGTCTCCTGATGCAAGAAATCTATGTAATCCCAAGAAAATCATTTCCAGCCAGAAAGCACATGTGGTTCCACGTAACTGACTCTACAACACACACACACACCCACCCACCAAATTGTGCAATTTAATCAAGAAAATGCTGCAAAGCACAGGAAGCTGTTAGTTCTAATACCGAGGCCCGGTTACGGTGCTGACGCCGAGGTGACGTGAAGGTGAGGCAGCACTCTAAAGGTTAATGACCGCTCTCAGGCCAATAATGGCAGCGGTGAGCAAACATCACTGCCCCTTCATTCGATCTGTACCGACGAGTTACATAAGGCGGGTCAAAGGACTGTTTGTTTTTTCTCTCGATCACCATAAAGAAGATTTCAATTATCTCGACTGTGGAAAGTGTTCGGGTGAGAGGGCTGTATATTGAATTTATACATATTTGTATGTAGATAGCTAGACAAAGTGTGTGTCTGTGTGTTTGAGGGGAACAGCCAGGGGGTGAGTCTTTCTCAATTTGGCTTCCTGATCACATTAAGGAGAGCTGCAGAGAACACGGACCCTGGTTGATGTGTCAGGATTAGGTAACTGAAATGTAAGCTGTGTGTGTTTAGCCTATAGTTTCCCTCTAGGCAGTCAGAGTTGAGCAATCCGCATGAACTTAATAGATGGCCCCACTAGTCCCATGATCCTCACACTACTTTCTCCTTTGCAGAAATCTCTCCAAGCCCCATGTTGTAGGATCAGTCGGCTAAAGCTATAAATAAAAATACTTACTTTAGTTTTTTTCTTTAAACAGCATGTTGATTCCAGGTTACTGCTGTCATAAACCCATTACCTCTGAGTCGTCTGACCTTCAACCATCATCATCAGGTAATTATGAACATCTGGTTTTATGTAAGTAAAAGTCAGCTGTTTGAAAATCTGGCTTTTATGTCATAGGTTTGATCTGCATTCCTATTGGACAGCATTTTTTTTTACTGTCCTCTAAATGAGTTTTAACAGGCTGAAAGCTGAAACTGCCACAGGCAAACTGAATCACCTGTATCTCATTAACATTAATTAACAGTAAAGTCTGCAAGCTGTATCAACCAGAAACTGTTGTGGTGTTGCTAAGACAGAAAGAAACAACATACTTGAAAAGATTCCTATTTTTAATTCAGTGTTCAAATAGACCAACAGAGTGGTGTGTCTACGCAAACACACAAGTTTCATTTTCAGAAGCTATTAACAGCAACTAGGTAGCTGTTCAGTGGCAGATACTGAGCAGTTTTATAATATCATTGTTTTAAACCTAGACTCTAGCTTTAACAGTTATGAATTTCTAACGCTGAAGCTACAGTTAGCTAAAACAGCTAGAGTGCAGAGCTGTACATACAATGTGCACTCAATTTATCAGATAAAGCTAGCTAAAATCAAAGCAGTCTAACAGTGTAATAAATCCTACCTTTATGAAGGTTCTGATTTTCATTGTCGCTGCTGAACTGTATTAAATCATCCTGAGAGATGTTTCTAGTATTTTGTCTACCCTCATTGATAAAAATGAGGATCATAAACCTAAAACATTTTTGCTAGGTGTACCCAATAAAGTGGCAATTGAGAGTAATTCCCATACAACTTCAGCCTGACTAGAAGTGTAATTAGCCAGATTAATTGAAATACCTGTGGGGGTGTGCAGGGCCTTTCAGTATATAACTAATGTAATATCTTACTTATTGTCAGCTAAAGGGTCCATTTTTTTAGATACTCACAGATACAATTTCCCTCAGAGCAGGTTCAATACAGAAGGAAAAACGCCTAGTGTCTTGACAAGTTGACGTCCGTTTTTAAGAGATAACCTTACATAGTATGACAAGAAACGCGTTTGTGTCTTGTAAATGAATAATTTAAAGCAGTAAATCAAATTACAAATGATGTGAAAGAAGAAATACTCAAGAAACAGAACTACATCCTACAGTATTATCTACGACCAGTCCTCCAAAAGTTGGAGCTGTAATTTTATTTCCAGCAAACATTTTATTTCTTTAACTATGAGCCAATCTGATGTTTTCTCATCACAGAGGACAATTAACGGAACTAAAATGTGCGTCTTGTAGGTAAAACGTAAAATGTAGGCTGTTGAGGGAGTTTAATGTCGGGAGTTGCTCTGTGGTATAATAAAGCCATGAATAATATACTAATAACACAATAGTGATATTAGTACATAACAGCCATGACATAACAAGTCAGCCCAAACTGGCAACTTTTAAGTTTGACTTGAAAGATTCAGGTACAGCCTGTGTCGACTGTTCCAGACAAATGATGAAAACATTTCTGAATGTGATCACCTTCTTTACTTCATTGCAAAGTTGTAAGGAGTTATTCAAAAACAGCCGCCTGGTCTAAAATGACTTAATTGGACACAATTTAAACAGTCAAGCCAGATCAAGGCAAAGCCCAAGGGAAGGGGGAAAAAAAGGGATTTCATGGCGGCTCCTCTGAGAATAACTTAACCCCCCCCTGCAGCAGTCTTAACTCTCACCCTGTGGACAGTGTTAGCACTTCAGCTGACCCCGAGATCAACTCTGACCACCTCTCATCTCCTGAAACTTCTCCACTTGATCCATCCACCCCCAATACAGCTCAAGATGCAACACACACCCACCAACATGTACTGAAACCGCATGCAGCCACATAAACAAACAATATTCTAGCCAGACAGAGGTACACACACACACACACACACACAGTCTCCATGTGAGAAGTGGCTCATTAGGAGACAGTAATCAGCTTAATGCTCTCCAACGCCCACCGGTGCTAAGCTCTTTACAGACAAACCCAGTTAGAGAAGTAGCATCTGAGGGATGCCATGGCCCCGAACCCGCCGAGACGCACACAGTCAGACACACATAGATCATGGTGGAGACATGGCGAAAAACACTGCAGTGGTGGTTGACATCAAGACAATCACCTAAGACAGAGCAGAGATGTGTGTGAGCGTAAGGAGAAAAGAAATTTATATGGGAGAAGGAGACGGAAAAAAGGGTTGGGAAACAAACACAAAAGAGGGAGAAGAACGCAGAAAACGGCACACAAAAAACTCAAATAAAGCAAAAACAGAAGCTCAAATGTTTTCCTGGGAAAGTGTGTGAGGAAGGAGAAAAAAAAGAGAACAAATAAGGAGGGGTGTATGAAAGGAGGGAAACACTCCCTCCTCCTCCTGTGCCCTCAGTAACCCCAGTCGGTTGGTGGGTGGCTGCTCCGTTCTTTTAGGCAGCGCCCCGACGCTCTCTGAGCCCGGCATACATCCCATACCACAGCACACAATCAACGCTCTGTAGCCAGGATCATGCTTATACAGGGAGCTGGCACGCCGCCAAGCTAACACATTCACACAGAGGCATGTACATATGCAGACGCACACACAGAAGATACAGTAAAGGAGGTTCATGTCAGTGTAACCTGGAAAAAAAAAACTCTAAGAAGGGCTGTGAATGGCAACTACTTCCAGTTTCAGTTACTTATTTCAACCAACTGATTGATCATTTAGTCAATATGGGGTTAGAAAATGGTTAAAAATGCCCACCACAATTTTCCAGAACCTTATTAGATGTTTTGAAATGTGCTCGTTTTGTCCGGCCAACACTACAAATCCATAATTTATAACCATAAAAAAGGAGAAAAGCAGGAAAACCTCACATGTGAGAAGCTGGAAACACAGCGTGTTTTACATTTTTAGTCATGCTTGCTGCGTGGCTTGAGGTATGGCAACCAAGATGGTGAACATCATACATGCTAAAAAATAGCAAATTTAGCATGGTCACTGTGAGCATTTATAGCATGCTAATGTTAGCATTTAACTCAAAGCTTCACTGTGCCTAAATACAGCCTCCGAGAGCTGCTAGCATGGCTTAGAGTTGTTTTATAATGCCTTAAAAAATGAAAAGCTTACCAGAACTGTAAACTAGTTGAATTAATCGAGTAATAAAAGGATTGTTTTGACACGTTAGAAGATCCATATCCTTATATCCGTCTGTTAAATATGAAGCTGGAACCAGGAGACGCTTAGCTTAGCTTAAAGACTGGACACAGGGGGAAACAGCTAGCCTGGCTCTGTCCAAAGGTAAATAAAAATATCCATCTACCAGCAAAGCTCACTAATTAACACCTTTGTTTAACTTGTACAACAACTGAAGTGTAAGAACAAGTTGTGGTTTTATGGGGGCTTCATGCACGGGACTGTTTCTCTTGAATGGACAGACATGAGAGTGGTATCAATCTTTTCTCTCTAAATCTTCCTTTGACTACTACAAAGTGACGCAAAGGCACCGCAAATCAACAAAGTAATAAATCGGGCATTCTAACTACATGTACATAGACGTGCACACATAAAGTATGCATTACGCAACTGAGAGGTACATTTACACATTCATACTAACTGCGTTGGCAGGTGCCTCGCCTAAACTTGGGCGTTGAAGGCATGTATCAAGAAAACATGCTGTTTGCCAGTGATTTCTTAATGCAGACATGCCCTGTAAGTTATCTTATAAGAATGCCCTGTAAGTTATCTTTCTGTATGTAATATCTGACGCATGGCCTCGGACCACAGCGACCTCACAAGAGGTGTATTCATCCATTCAAGTACAAACATGGCTCTCACACGCCCAACTGGAAGCTCCTTAATCATGGAACATGATTATGAGAACGAAAAAAAGTCTGGTGTGACAATAAAAAAAGAGCAAACAAAAAGTCCACTCAGAGACAGAGAAAAGACAGGAAGAGGAGGGGAAGAAAAGGAGGTTTGGAGAGCGGAGTAGAGAGGCAGACGGGCTTTGTTCAAAACAGAACGAGCAAAAAACGGCATTGACAAAAGAGACAGGAGGTGTGTGTGTGTGTGTGTGTGTGTGTGTGTGTGTGTGTGTGTGTGTCTCTTGATGCAGAGCCAGGTCAGTGAAGGTTACTTGGCCATTAGTTGAGGAGCTTTTGGCTGATCCCTGCTTCCTGAAAGGTGATTGGCTTGGATGATCTGTCTCAGCTTTTCCTATTAAGAGCAACACAGCGTCGAGACTTTTGCGCGCGCGCGTGTGTTTGTTTGTGTGTGCACGTGGTTTGTGTAATTTATGTATGTAAACCACACATAAAGACTTTCTAATGTAATTAAAGAAGCTCTGAACGGAAAAGCAAGCAAGCACAGGTGTGGTAATCAAACGCTTTTCTGTCACAATCGTGACAAGTTCAATGGCTGAAGTCCTCAAGGAACACACAAACACACACACACGAAGTCTGTCCAGCGGCGCCTCTTTGACTGACCAAGCTGCCAATACAATTCATTCCCCTGCCGCAGTGTTCTTGTATATGTCTGTGTGTGTGTGCGCCAAACGCATGTGAATAAGGCACTAGTCAGTCAAAACATGACTAGAGTACTGAGCCATTAGCCGAGGTTTTACTACCTAATTACCATTCACTGAGCCGGGCAGCTCACCAGAAAACAACACACACACACACACACACACACACACACACACACACACACACACAGGGCAAAGAGCGTGACTGAGCTCCTGCCGAGGACCCCCTTGAGCAAGGCGATTCAACCTCAAACAGCTTTACAGCTCACAGGACAAGATTTCAGATATTTATATAAACTTTTGCCATTTGCTTGTCAATCTTCTTCTGATGTTTTTGTCTGTTTGGTCAGAAATTTCAGAGGGTACTTTTTCGCCAAAAGTAGCTCTGTTCTTGTGCACGGACAAAATGTCTTCACAGGGCATATTTTATTCCAGCTCACCTCCAGAAAATGCCTCTTTTTCTACCTCAAACCTTTGTTACAAATGCAAAAAGAGGTAGTTTTGGTCCTATAGCATACACTGGATTATTTGATATGTTACAACATGTAATTAAAGTTCAGTAAACTTTGTTACAGTTGTAATTCTTTGAGTGTATTTTTTAAATATTTGAGTCTTATTTTTCCTTACCACAGCTTTAGTTAATCTTTGTCGTAGTTGTTTATAATTGGTATTGATACAAATTCTGTAGTTTTTTTGCTTTTATTTTTTAAAAACTATAATACGTCCCGCTCATCACACACCTTGGTCCCAAATCTCTAAATGCTTGTTTATGTGTTGTGTTTAGGTGAAAAACATGCAGATGCATTTAGCTAGGATTTCTTGATTAACTGACTGACCGAAAACTACATTTTCGTTTCAGGACTGCTGGCAGATTGATCTCATGAACTCTCAAATATTTATATCGCTATCCGCCTCAAACATCCAGTATCAGTTGAGCTCTAAGGTGTCGCTGCGTATCTTTAATGTTGTGGTCACTGCATTTGTTCCAAGTCACTCCAGTTTCTTGTCAGACTTCCCAAAACGCCCCATCATCACATGAAACCCCTGTTGAAATAGCCTATATTGTATTTGTTGTGTAACAGGAAGTGTGTACATCTGTGTATAAAGTTTAGTTTGAACACAGAAAGTGTTGAAACATTAATAGATAAGGTGTGTAAGTGATTCCTGGGGAGTAGAGCAAAGGATGGATGTGTCTCTTACATTGAAGCCCGGAAACGAGATTTAATCTTCACTGGCCGAGTGGAATTATACACACACATACACCTTGTCTTATCAGCTAATCTGTCCCTCTTCAGGATTCATGTGACAAGCTCAAGAATGAAGCCACTCAGGTCTGCTGCTCTCGCCCTGACCTTGTGAAATATGGCTTCAACGTCACACAAACACACACACACTTTTTCTCATTTTCCTGCAACAATCAGGAAGAACACACTAAGCGGAAAGATCCAAGTATGTGTGTTCATTTAAAAAAAAAAATGGTATGTGGTGGGAGAAGAGCAGCGTGGTCTGGTCAAGGTCTTGGGAAGATGAGCGACATAAAACAAGACCAGGCGGGTGAGAGAAGCAAAGAGAGGCAGCGGGGGAGTGGAAAAAAAGAGATATGAGACATCAGAGGGAGAGTTTTCTGTTAATTTCCAAGGCAACAAACACAGTGTGTTATTTTCTTATACCATGTTATTACAAATAAATATCATCACTGTTCTCTTTCCCCAGCACTAACGCTCTCCTGTCTGTCCTTGGTACATCTTCTGTCTGTCTTTCCTTCTCAACATCCATCTCTCCCTTTGTTTCTAGAAAAAGCTGAAAAAACTACCCAAAGCAAGCATCCACATCCATTCTCTGTGCTTGCCGGTGTCTAGAGCTTCGATGTGTCCACAGCGCTTTATGAAAAGGCCTTCTGATGTCTATTGAAATTAGGCAAACAGTAACAGTGGGAAAGCAAATATGGTGGATTATAAATATTACGCATGCACGTACGCAATCTGGGCCATGAAATTTCCATCCAAAGACAGAAGAGAAGCTTAACTGATCATACTTATTGTTATTCAATACCGATTGCTGATGATGACGTATGAAGGTTCAACAAGTGCTCAGAGTGCGAACACACACACACACACACACACACACGGATGCACAGACAGACACACAGTAGAGATTTATTCTATTCTATTCATTGTGCAGAACCAAATCCTCCCATTTCCTCTTCTTCCTTACCCTTGAATCAATGGAAGATTAGTCTGTGGTGGAGTGGACCTCAGGCAACATTTGAGTCAACACACACACACACACAGACACAGACAAGTCTTAACATCACTTCCTCATGTAGACAAAAGTCAGTACTTTTCCTTTGAATGACACCATTAAATCCCACTAATCAAGAAGACAAATTAGATTTTCTTTTTAGTAACAGTTGTTGCTGTTTGAATTTCCCAGAACAGGGAAGTCTCCGTCTACTGGAGTGAACAAGTGATAGTATTACGACACATAACACTGATCCTTCTTAAAATATGCAGTTTATGTCAGGAAGCTGATATTCCCCAAAGACAAATCTTATCGATTTTGTTTTATGTGCTGAGAATGTGTCATCCATCATAGAACGTCGTTTTGTAAACGGAGTCTTAGCGCACTTTGGTCACGTTCAGACTGACATTAGCACTGCATGAATCAACACAGCCTTTTCATTCCCTTCACTGCTGTGGGGGAGCAGGTGCCACTTTAAATAAAATAAACAAGTCAACATACCATTACCTGGTGACTGCTGAAATGAAGTTCGTCATTGGTTGTCTGAGAAGCACTCAAATTCATGTCCTTGATCGTATTTCAGCGTTTCAATAGTACCTGAAGTAACATGCCCACATCAATGCAGCTACACACGCTACAAATTTGCTCATCCCCTCAGTCTGTTTTTATTTTCCATTTAACACTTTTAACCCTGATTGTACACTGCACTGTAACTTTTACTGTCCTGTTTTAATGTGTATTTTTTTCTTTTTTCAATTTCCCTATGTTGCTTTTAAACTTTATATTTCCCTGTTGCTTTTATGTTTTATGTAAAGAACTTTGAATTACCTTGTTGTTGAAATGTGTTATACAAATAAACTTGTCTTGCCGTGCATTTTTTGAACTCTGTTACAAAAGCCAAGATCAGAGACCGTTGTGGCGAGTGGTTGCATGTTTTCTATATGAAACTGCTGGTGAGAATGCACTGAAAAAACGGTCCTGATATAAACCGTACAATATCAGAGAAAGAGGAGGCTTCTGTGCATTATATGTACCTTACAGATGTCGTGCAAAATTGTCTGTCCTCTGTTCTTGCACTGCTTTGCTACTGTCATTGGCTCACATGGGTTTGTAGAAACTCTGCACACAGCTGCTTGCAGAAACATCACCAGAGTTCACCAGATTTGTTTTTAATCAATAGCTGCTCCGTCCTACTACAGTTTTGTGGTGTTGAATTCCTGACTGCTGCTGGTCTTTGCCATGCTACATTGAATTCTGCATAGCGAGCAGCGGTGTGTGGGACAGCTTGATAATCCGCCACAAAGCTGTGTGTGTGTGTGTGTGTGTGTGTTTAACTCAGATAACTCCTCTAGCCCTAGCCCTCGAATTGGACGGGGCTTGTAACGAGATGAAGCTGCCGCTGCGGCGCACACAGATGACCTCATCACACAGTCTGTGCTTGAAGTCAGTGGGGAAAAAACACCTCAGCCTTTGAGTCCTCCTAACATACACACACGCAACCTTCAAGACTCCCTGAAAACCCAAACAGAGCAGAGCTGTTGCTATGTGCGGTGTGAGCTCGGTGACTCCCTCAACAGACCACCCAAACAAAGTAAACTTGATTTCAGAGAACTGCACGTCCTTGACTTTAACAAAAACAAAAAAGAACCTGTGATGTCTGTCCTCTTCGATTTCCCGATATTTTCCTAATCTAAAAATGTTGGGGGAAATATTTGATAAACACAGAAATATGGCTTTTGTTTACTCAAGCTGGCGAGGAAATGGATTCAGGCCTCCTCTGCTGTCCTCATGTAACCGTGCAGGTTGTTCTGCGTCTTCCCATGGGGCCAAATTAGTTGTGTAATGCTGTAATTAGGCTAATGAAGGAGAGTTGAGTTTGCAATGCGGAGAAATTTGAGCTAATTTCCATCTTAATATGGATTATATAATCACAAGATGCAAGAGCTTACCTCCCACCACATCCTGTTTTTCATATCCATACAGTCGATTATACAATGCAAGAGAGGGACTAATAAGGATTTAAAATCTGATATTATGCAGTTTTATCTCTTTGCCTGATCTAGCTTGCTCTTAAAAAGGGGTCATACTTACTAAATAAATGCTGAATTAATAGAAAATAAAGCTGCTAAAAATATCAAAATCATATAAAATTTAATTCTAACCGTGCTAACAAACTGACAAGAAATGCAGAAATTTTAAAAGTTTAAAAACACTGTTTTTTGTCCTTCACATGTTCACTTCTGCTGTTTTCCCCCACCTCCGTGTACATTTACATTTTTGCATAAATTTTAGTGGAGCTGTGTCACTGTGCTGACAGACTAGGAGCTCAGTCTGCCTCCTGCGCATAGGCACAAACTGGGTTAAAAGACAAAAAGCACAACAGACAGACAGACAGACAGACAGACACAAACACACACACACACACACACACACCCCTGAGCCTCACCCTCTTTAAGGGTCATGCCCCTCCCACGTGATTGTGTTCTACATAACACTACTAGTGCTGTTAGTTTAACCTACAGTAATTTTGCCCTGAATTACACACCCTGCAAGAAAAGCTGGATGAGAACTGTGTGTTTTGTGCAAAGGAATGAATGTGTGTGTGTCATTTGTTATGACATGGCCTCATTAAATACAGCTGGCCCGGTTTAATTATTTAATTATCAGATATTAAAAGTATTGTTATGATTTATTACAAGCTTTTTTTCTCTGCCTATTGTAGCCTTGACCATCGTTTCTACCAGTAACGATAACAATATGTAATTACCAAGTTAATTGCTGAGATCTGGGTGCCCGCCGACATCGCTAGGACAAAGTAACTTAAAATTACTACCCAAGTTGTCTGCTGTAAACATCCATCACAGCTTTCAGCCTGCCTGTTAGCCAGCTTTGACCTACCGTACTTTCTATAGTGTATTATTATTATTATTTCCAGTGTGCTCACTTTCTGTTTTGATACAGTGCTTTAGAGATAAAAAATTTACAACCTCAATTATAGCCAAAAGAAACTAAGACCCAGTTAACCCAATAAAACAGTTGAAAACAATTTTTTAAATCTATGAAATTCTCATTCCCTGATGAACCGCAATCAATATGCGTCAGAAAGCCTTTCACATCCAACATTCACACAGCAACACAGACAGACGGGGAGTGAATGGGAGTGAATTACACTTCTAAAGTCTGCGGTGGACAAGATTTGTATGCTAAAAGGACTTGGTTGTGTGTGAGTTTCAGGTCGCTCCACGTGTGAATGTGCCAACCAGCTGCGAATTGGGCCAAGAAACCCAGCAGGGTTACCAATAAAACTACGTGCTGCTGGGATGGGTAAGCGTCAATATAGTTTTATTTCTATGAAGCTCAAGTTTTTAAATATATATTGATAGCAATTCTTATTCATATTTTTATGGGTTTTCATATTGGAATATTATAAATTCATAAAACATTTTTACATTGATCTGACATCTTTATTTCATTACATTAGCCAAGAACTGACTTCTCATCTCGTTATTTTATCTTTGAACAGTGTCTTAAATGAATTTCCCAGAAAACTTATATCACAATAAAAATGACTACCACTATATTAAATTACATAATGTATACCTTGATAGAAGATTGGACTAAAATCAAACTAAGTGAACTCAAAATGTTTGGCATTTTTCCTAAAAGACACTGCACTGAATGCTCGAAACTATCTGTGAAAATCAGTGTATCTGTGTAACAACTTGACAAAACAGATAAAAGATGCACACAGAAAACAATTGATCCAATTGGTCAGTTATACATGACTTTTGCCCAGTTAGCCAACAGAAAACAAATGTAAACAGTCCTGCTTCTGTGAACAACAACAATGTTCATGTGATTGAGGAACTGAGGCAAACAAAACAGAATTTAGTTTAGCTTTAAAGGCATTAAATGCATTTACAGATAAAATCCAAATATAGTTTTTGCATCTGGGCTACATTTCATACTGCCAGTGTGCATGGATCTCCCCATTAGAAACGTCTTCCTCGAAGCAGTGTGTCCCAGGGAATGAATTTTAAAGGGCTACAGGTTATTTTAAGACTGCCATACACACACCCCTCCAGATGGTAAAAAAATAAAGTTATGAGACAGCTGGAAGTGCGGCTAATACAATTCTCTCACATGGTTTTCCTGGAGGAGATTGTGGGAGTGGTAGCTGATTGAATTTAAATTAACATTTTGTCCCGAAAATCCTCTCTACTTCCCAAACTTCTGTTTCACTCCATTCTGCTGAAGGTCACAACACTCCTCCGGTATGTGGGAAACACCAACGCACACAAAGATCCACACAGCTAAGTGAAATATACATATTACATTCAGTCTCTCTCACACTTTGGCTGAACTTGACGCTCGAGAGGCAGTCTATATAAAGACACACATTACATTTGTTGTAGTAAATGCATTTTGATTTCATTTTATTTCTAAAAGATGTAATCAGCTCACCCTGCTTTTCCTCATTATCTAAATTATGAGAGGTTATTTTTACACGTCACATATTACATAACCAAATGTGTCAAATAGGATTGTTTTTGGCCCATGTCCCACTACTGATGTTCAAATTTAGCCTTTGGCTCTCTGTGCCAAAACTACGCATACAACCCTATTTTCCTATACAAGCTGGTGCCTGTTGGGGGAAAACATCCCTGTAATTACAGCAGATCAGAACTCTTTAAAAAAGCACACAGGATCCACGCAGACAAGATAATTAATCGTTTCTAAACTGTATTTTGTTTATAGTAACGGATAGATTGCTGTATTTTTGCTCTACAGCAAAAAGAAAACATCTCAGTGCGGTACTAAAATATATTTTTAAGTGTCTCTGCAAGCGTTTAAAGGATGGAGTGAAATACAATGTTAAAAGGGAGGAGGACAAAAGGCATAAAGACAAGACAGATCTTGGTAAAAAAAAAAAAGTTAAACAACAGTATGTGTAGTGAACAGAAGGGAGGGAAGGAATTTCAAATATCTATCAGCCCAGATGTCAGATGAGGACAAAGACTGAAGAATTTATAACTCTGCGGACAAGTAGTCAAACACAAAAACAAAGACATACCGACAGCAATAAAAAAGAAAATAAGGTAAGAAAAGAATCAAGAAAGCAAGATAAAAAAAGCCTACAAACTGCAACAGAAAAGAGTTTCAGGAGAGCCCACTAGTCTTGGGGTTTGGCCCTGCTGAGGTCCGTCAGCCCACCGTGGCAAAAACACTCGAACAAAAGGATCATTTATTGGAGGAGGAAAGAGGGGGAGGCGGAATGGATGAAAGGAGGGGGAACACTGTACAGAGGCATTTGAGAGCAGTGTGAGTGAAACACTGGCCCCATCTCCACATTCAGAGCCAATGTGTAACAACCCCCCCCCCACCCCCCCCCACCCGCTGCCCCATTGACATACTCCGCAGCCAGAGCCCATATGGTCCCACTGTGGTAGCCTGCTAGCATTTATATTTAAAATACACCCAAAAACGCCGTCTGCTTCCACCAACATGGCCTCCATTTCCCAATAAAACCAACACATAGATGTACGGATGCAGGCAGATGGTTCATTTCCATCTGTGGAATCTCTGAAAACCAACTGTTGAGCTCAGCCGTGCTGTGCTCACCGCAAGATCCCATGATGAATTTTTGCTAATGCCTTACATTTTTCATTAAATCCAACTTTGGAGCCGGGCTATGAAATGTTTACCACAAAAACCCATGAGGTTTAAGTCTAACACAACCTACGGTACAAATCATGTGGGAGCTAGCAGGGCTACATAAACAACAAGGCTTGGCAGGATGCATTCATCACAAGAGCCCCACTGTGGAAGGTTAAGTAAGACGAAGAGTGTTTTACTGATGCATATAAATCCACATCTCCATTTAAATGCTGCTCTATCTGCTTAAACTGCAGGAGTCTATTTCTTAACAGGCCAATTAAGTGCAGACAGTGGCTCAAAGAGAATGTTTTTCGATGAGTAAACGTCTCACAGTGACCTAGTTAAAGCATTGTTTAGCTGTGGTGGTGCCCCGCAGATAAAAAGTTGCCCTACACAGTAGGAAAAAAAATGTAAATACAATTAACATTCATCATGTGGCCTTACTGACCTCCCTTCCTAACAATAAAACTGTAGATTTTTGTGTATGCTTTCTAGTATGCGATCATAGAAAATAGAAAAATGTTAATCAACAGCCAACATCAACAGTTGTTAACCTAGTACGCCAAACTAAACAACCACAGCTTGATTAAGCAATATATGAAATCATAGTAAACCATATTTTTATAGGTTCAAACCCGGAAATCCCAGTAAAGTGCTTCCATACTTTCCTTCATAAAAACATTATAATTTTAAAGTTAGGTTAGGAAACTCATTTAGTGACATAAAATCTGATTCAGGGAGGATTAAAGTTTCTCCTCCATTGCTTTCTTCTAAACATGTCACATTGGAGGATCTTGGGTATAAAGATCAACAGGAAACAGGGTCTGAGTTCAACTTCACTGAACTTGAAGTAGAATGCTTCAACGTTAGGTCTGAATGGTTGCAGTGACCTGTTTGCGAGTGCTCATTGGAAAACAATGACTCATCCAAAGCAGAAGGCTTCTGCTGCTTGTCATATCTGTATAACAAACATGTCTTGAAACTGTACCCAAACACCAAAAGTGAATTGAGGGGGGACTGTGGCACTAACAATGATTACACAACATTCACAAAGCCTCGAGAGGATCAATAGTAATTTCCAGAATATCGGTATTCATTGATATTCCATGAGGTTGTCTGGCCTTCGGTGCCTTACATAATCTCATATGGTAAAACGTGTGCATATGCCTTTAGAAGTACACCAATCATACAGAGAAGGAAATCTATTTAATGAACTGTTAGCGCAGCCGATCTATATCTCATATTGTGGATTCTTCAGACATAAAAATCAGATTGGTTTTTACATTCTAATCTGGCGTCAGGTGAAGTTTCATTACAAGCACAAGAAGGAAAAGGAGGCTGTGCTCCATTGAATTATCTTGAAAGCGTATAGTTTTCCATCTGAATATGTCACAGAGCCCAAGTAGGAAGAGAAAGAGAGAGGAGGACGGCACAAAAGCAGTGATAGAGAGATCAAAGTGTGTTTGAGTGAAAACTAAAGAGACATGATGCTGAAGTCCAACAAAGGTGTTAAAATAAAAGAATAAGTAACTCTCACCTGTTCCCTCCTTGCTTCCACTCTGGTGGGTCCGCAGCTCCTCTGATTTGTAGAAGTCGATGCTGGCGTAAGTGTTGAGGCTGGAGCTGCTGCTGCTGCTGCTGCTGACTGCTGCGCTTACTCCCCCGACCCCAGAACCTCCACCCAGTACAGAGAAGAGGCGAGAGGGGGCTTGGCTACCTGAGGGTCCATCCAGGCCCAAATGGGGGCTCTCTTTGTTGGCCAAGTCCAAGTCTATGTAGTTAAGGCCTTGCTCTGTGGACGAAGTCTGACTGTTTGTTGGAAGGGACTGCTGTCCAGGGAGGGCGAACTGAGTGGGGTTATCAGTCACAGCACCATTCCCCCATAGCATGCTTTCAAATCCCAGCCGGCGGGCCACAGCTTGGGCGTGTTCTGGAAAGAGGGAGGCAGTGGAAGAAGAGGAACTAGAGGTAGAAGTGGGGAGGGAAGGCGAGGCAAGGAAGGTTTCTGAGCAGTGCCGTCTGCGTCCTTGGGGGTCGGCCCGGATAACTTTAGCCCCATGGTCTGGGTTGGTTCCTGGTTTGGCTAGGGAGAAGTCTAGACCCCGAGATAGCACTGGAACAGAAGGATCAGTCCTGGTGGGGGAAGGGGCATTAGGGGAGACACTGGATGATGACCTAGGGACGGTGCTGCTATTCAAGCTAAAGGCCATCTCTGTGTAGTCTCCACAGGATGTTGGGGAATCAGACTCATTCATTGATGGAACACTGTCTCTGCTTTTCCTAAGTGGGGCCTCAGCCACTTCAGCCCCCTCTTCACAAGGGCCAGTAGTACCTTCATCACATGCTTTGGGGGCATGAGCAAGGGTTGGAGGTGTCGGAGGAGTATGGAAAGAGGGGAAAACTAGTGGATTAAGTGAGAGGGGTGAGGGGGACGGAGAAGGGCCCAGGTCCATGTTAACATACTCAGAGGCAGAAGGGGGAGTGATGGGGGCAGAGGGGCTACGGGAGAGGGGGATAAAGTTCCCTAAGCAAGAAGCTGGCCTGTGTTGAGAATGCTTGCTGCTTGAGCCTTGAGGCAGTGATAAGCCATGCCTGAGACCCCTACCCCGCCCTCCTCCAAATCCAGTCTGACTGCACTTGTCCCCCTTAAACTCGATGCTTACATACTCCCCAGGGCTCTTTGGTTCTGGGGGCAGGGGATTCTCACGAACCCTAGGAAGGGTGTTAGCCTTGGATACATCAACAAACAGGCTCACTGGTCTGCTTTTAGTATGGCTACCCTGCTTGGACAATCCACCAGAGCTCCGTCTCTGCTGCAGCTTACTGCCATCTTTGGACTGAGCTCCCCCAGCCATGGTGCTAACTGAATGGGTAGCTCGGTCCTCGCTCTCCCCGAGGCTTTCGCTGCTGGCTGAGCTGGAGGAATATGAGGAAGAGGAGAGTGACAGGTGGCGTCCAACCCCTGAATTGCCCGCTGCTGGTTGCTCCTGAGGCCCTCCCGTAGTCCTACCTCCACCCATTCCCCTACTACAACTCCCGTTGGGCCTTCTGCCTCGTCCAGGTCCATCGTCAAAGTGTCCAGCGGAGGGGTTGTGTTTGTATGAACGGGGAAGAGAATAGTATGAATACACCATCTTAGGTGCTTGCTGTTGAGAACTGGTCTCCAAATGAATGGTGTGCTCAGGAGGTGGGGGACTGCCATTTACAGAACGTGCGCTGATTGGAGACATGTTCATATAATCACTGCCTGCCCTGCTGTCTGCACTGCCACTGCCCACCCAGGCCCCTCCAGAGAGACCTCCCCGCTGGTCAGGAGAGCAGCTGCTATTGGGAGACATTATCATATAGCCATCAGAAGCTGGTGGAGGCCGGATCTGCTGGGGAGGGGAAACGCTGTTGTTAGGGGTCATGGCCATGTAATCATCAGCAGGTTTGGAATCTGAGTCTGGGACAGAGACGGCCAATGATTGGGACAGGGATACTGGAGGCTGAGTGACACCAGGCAGCATGGACATGTATCCATTGTCCATACCCATATCTACACTACTACTTGCTCCTCCACCCCCATCATTTTTTAATTCACCTGCCACATCCAAGTACCCTCCTCCTCCCCCTGCTGACCCCGCACCCACGACAGATTCCCTCAGTGTGGAAGAGGAGGTGGAAGTAAAGGATTCGCGGCTGGTGCTTCTCGACATGATGGCATAATCGGCTGAATCTTCATCTGCTGGCTCCTCAGCTTTGCGCTGGCGTGGGGCCAGCCTCTCCAGAGCCATAGGAGGTAATGAAGCCCGCTTGCTCAGCAGCCTACGTTCAGCTTCACATTCACGGCTAGAGGAACGGCGCAGCACTCTCTTGGTCTGGGGTTGGGAGCCAGAGGCTGATGTTTCTGGCGCTGGCAGCGAGCTGGATTTCAAGCTTCCTTGATTACTGTTGCCACCGCTGACACCACCACTACGTTGGCCCATTAGGATATAATTGGCTCCTTCCTCGCCAAGTGACTGGCTGCCGACGCTACCAACTGAGCTTCCAGGGAGGCTTGGGGAGGGGAGGAGCGTGTGCTCCCCAGGACTAGAGCCATACTCGTCTGAGGAGCCATAGTCACTGGGGGAGCAAGAGACAGACTCGTGATGGGAAGGGACACGACTGTAGGCACCACACGGACCAGCACTGGCAGAGGATGTTACACCTCCAAACTCAGAGCCATGCCCAGAGCTGGAGGAGAGGCTTGGGGCAGGAGACGGCGCCGGGGTGGATATGGAGCGCATCAACCCAAGAGGAGTTTTAGCAGCTGTAGTGGGTGCAGAACGGACTGACTTTGACCTGAGGACTGGGGTGGTGGAGCAGGAGCCATTGGTGGAGGGGCTGGAACTCCGCCCCTGGAGTGGTGTGGTCCCTGCTATCCCTTCCTCACCTTTTCCCCCATCACTGGCAGTGCGAGACCTCGGAAAGCTATGCCGTGGGGTGGGAGAGGCGTTGGCACTGCTGACCCCTGCTCCACCATTAGCTCCTCCAGGAGGCTCAGTTCGGGGCCGGCGGGTGAAGCCCACCTGGCTGGGAGGCGGGTTTGGGTGGTGGCGGCGTGAGGGAACACTGATGGGGTTAGAAGCAGTAGAACCTCCTCCAGGGCCGGAGTTCGACTGGGACTTGCTGCGTTGGCGGAACTCTTCGCTCAGTGCTTTCATGGCCTCTAGCAAGGTTTCATGCATGTTCTGGGCCACCACAGAATCATCCACCTACAACATGACACAAAAACCTCTCAAACTGAAATCATAATGAATTGAAGTGAATTAATTCTTCGTTACATATCAAAAAAAGAGAATTTAAACATCTGAAAAATATTTGGACATTTACATTGGTGACCGTCCTGGAAAACCATGATTGTATTTCAAATACATTTGTATTTAAGGAATATCTTTAAATCATAAAAAGCTCAAATACTGGTTGGCCTAAGGTGGGGTTACATGAACTCTAACCACAATACTGGGTAACTTGGATCTCACCTGCATCCAGAACTCGCCCGGGCCTGTAACGGCAGAGCGTCCCACCTCAACGAAGAAGAAGTTTTCTGAATGGCCGCAGCGTCGGACGTTCATCAGCTGCAGCACCACAGCAGCAGCATCAGAGTTGAGCTTGACAAAGTTGACTGTCTTGTCAGTCAGGCAAAGGCGGTAGATGCCCACCAAGTTCTTGGCTTGACCCAGGCCTTTGGGCCACACCTTTACCTGCCACACTTCTTTGAAAGCAGGCCCGGGATTGGGCACTCCATAGTCCCCCGCAGCCCCGCTGTCAATTGGGTTCTTACCTTCAGGGACAGGAGAGAGATAAAGGAAGATTAAAAGGTTGTTGGAGTGAAAAAGGAAAAAAAGAGATATGGTTGGATAGAAGAAATTTGAGAGAGGTAATTAAAGTGTTATACAGGAGGATTTATTAAGAACACTGGCAGTTACAACTGCTGCAGCAAAGCACTAACATGACCTTCATGCATCTATGAACAAAGTGATCACCTGGTGAAACCACCACTATTTACCCATTAGTGGAGGGCAAGGTGCCTTTATTATGTAAGCTCTGCTGATATTGTGCTTTTCACTGATTTTTTAACCAGATCTGGGTTCAAATGAGCATGCAGTAGCTTGTAAGACCAGCTCGCTGTACCTGCAGGCTCCATACCTAGGGTCTCATTCTTCAACCCCACACAGACATCCTGACATACACACAAGCAAGCATATCAGTGTGAGAAAATGAAACCGTTGACAACCGAAGCCCCACACAAGAATGACGACTGAAAGAAAAGCAAGCGTTGTGGAAAAACTTAAGTGGACCAACTTGGAAAATGCTTGACACATGAAACTTCTCCAAAACCAGAGATTACAATTCCAATAGATGGCCAGAAACCTAAGAGCAAGCACTCAATAGCCAATTTCTGGAGCTGCCCTGGTGACAATAAACTGGCTTTGTAAACTAATAAAATCTAGTGTCTTTTAGAGGGAGTACAGGCAGTCCGTTCACCCTTTGTGTTGGGTATTTTGTACTCAAGACAGAACGGAATTACTGATGCGAGAAAAAACAGGAGAGAAGGCTCTTGGTGAGATCTGATACTTGGCTGGCAGGGGCCATACAAAGGCAGAGGAATTACTTAACCTCTTAACTACATTTGATCGCCTGTTTGGCGTTTTAAGTCAAGTAAGAAAATTACGTTAATTCTGTTACACAGTGCAACTCGTCAGCAGCCCTTGACACTGCCTGAATATATCATAGATTTACCTCTAAGCTCTTTCACTTCCAGCCACAAGGGACCTCACATCTGTTGCCTAAAAAGCCCGGGGTTATAGGAATATCATGATGTGACTCATGGTTTAGGGTGGATTCTTCAACATCTTTAAGGAACCACCCTTAAAATGTTCCTTAAACATGGCCCCTTTCTTCCCGTGTACCACATGTCTTAGTTTTCTCTGTGCAATTGTTGGTTGGATTAATCTGAGCATGATAACTACAAATCTACAACACAGAATCAATCAATGTCATGACAAGACTGAAGAAACAAACCTCCAGGAAGAGCTCACCTCTTCCCTTCATTGGAATAGGATGTTCTTTGTGCAGTAATGAACTTGTGCACCTGCTACCACACCTGGCATATTTAAGTATTGACGGGACAAGTAACTTTTTTGACAAGTAACTGAGTGAAGGATAATATTTTCACAAAGCTTGTGTGGTATTCTACTTTAAGCAATGACTTTGGCCCAATCAGGCTAATCACAGCACACCCTGACCGCAGAATTACAAATATATGCTTGGATGTCTGCATGCGTTTGTTCTTCCTTTCCCATGCCTCTGCTGCAAATCCTACAATGATAACCATATGGAGACAAGAAGCCTCAGCCTCACAGTGGACGCCATATGAACTGAGCTTCCGTTATGACAAACATATCCACAGATCCTCTTCCCAAAACATTCTACTTGTGATTGCAAAAGAGGGAGAAGTCTGACGTGTCTCGCTGTGTCTCCTTCCAGTTTGCTTCCCCAAAATTGGAGGATCGCTCACAACTTGAAAGCGACTTAGAATAGATGTTTTGTGAAAGCCATGGAGGCTGTGGCTTAGTGGCTGTGTGTGTGTGTGGAGGCACTCCCCCTACATTAGATGACTCACTCAAGGCCACGCATGGCTGTTTCATGTACTGCTTTTCTCTGTGTGTGAGGAACTGTGTGCAAAAAGCCCCGTTTGCCTTCTCAATTTAGATTTACAACAGGAAGAGATGGTTTGGGGATTTTTCAGTGGGGACTGAAGGAATGAGGGACTGCAGGAGATTGCACAGAGATATCAGAGAGACCATTAAGGTGGGGAAAGAAGGGCCTTGTAAAAGAATCTTTAAGGAGGAAGGAGAAAAGCTTGTTTTAGGATTGCATGGATTAAAAGAAATCTAACTACAGGCTTTATTTATTCTAAAATTAAAACTTTTTTAGCCCACTGCTTCTTGAAATGAACTCAGACTGCAGTGCAGTATATTCCCCAAAGAGAATCTTTTCCTTTTTAAGAGCCCATTTAACGTGTCTTTAGGAGAGCACAAGTGTGTTGTTTGTTTGGAGTACAGTGCAGCCTTAAACCTCAGCTGTGCCCTCAACAGCACTTCAACACATACACATACAAACACCCTTGATCTCAGGGCCACTCAGACTGTGCACACTTATCGTCAACTCTCAAAAGCACTGAAAACATTTAAGATGTTTATCCAGACTCCTACAGGGGTGCAGACCGATGTAGCCCTATCGAACATCCCAGACCTTTCTTCCTGGTTCATAAAGCTAGGGTTGATCCTACACGGAGCCATATGAATTATAGATTCCTCTAGATTTCCTCTTGGGGAGCCTTCATGGTAGTGTGGTGCTCAGCAAAGATGGCTGTTCAGAAAGCGGTGCATTCTTTCCCCACTTTGAGAAAGAGGTTATTATCCCGTCAGCTTCGGTGCAGCACAACGCCACCCCTATACAACATAATGAACCATCAGAAAAACGTGCACTCATGGCTCAATGGCCCTTCTAACAACTAAAGGCGGATGCACATGAAAGCAAAACAAACCTTGGAGGTAATGCAGGATCTGTGTTAAGCTTGCTGGGTGGATAAGGGTGATGCGTGACGGAAAAACATTCAGCCAACCTTGATACAACCTTGAGGGAGGGTGAGCTCAAAGACTCCATACACAGTTATAAATTTAAACGTTTCGCCATCGTGCTGAAAAGAACTTATACTGGCTTATTCACGCACCGGTTGTTTACTTCAGTTTCACCACGACCACACATGAAACTTTCAGCCTTACGTGTGGCTCGAGAATGGCAATGTACACGGCCAACACTGCTGTCTATTCATGCAGATTTATTTGCAACGCTCGAGCTGCCTCCCTTGAGAACACAGACATATATATGAATAAAGAGGCCATATTCCAACCCAATTTTCTCACACGGCAATATTAAATGTGTGTCGAGGTATTGGCGTTGAGGAAACTCTGCGCGCTCTTCCTTTCTCAGTGCCTTCATGCTATAAGGGAGTGTGTGTTTGAGAGGGTGCACGGGAGCGATATTTACCCCAGGGGCTGCTAGATGCCTGCTGGGATATTGATAGCTCCTCCCTGAGTGACACGCTGACCATTATGGTTATCACACAAATCCTAAGGAAGTAGGTCTTCCACAGGGGTCTTGAGGCTGAGTTGATTGTATCAGTTCACCCACAACAAGAACAGGACAGCGGGGCATTGTTACTAAAGCACTTTGCCACTGGGTGGAATTCTAGTTGGTTCAAGACTTAAAAAAAACAAAAAACAAAAATTAAAATCTAAAAGGGCTCATGTTTAGTGTCTCCACAATCTTTTCTTTCCACCTTTAAGTCAGGCAACAACTTTTATGTAACGCATTTCTGTGAGAGACAAAAAAATTCAATGACTGAAATATATAGCAAGATTCACACTATAATTCCTCCAGTGTTCCTCCATTAATTAACGAGACCATGGCGGCCCGCTAATTTGCGCCTCCATAGTCTGAACCAAAAATATTTTTACACCTCAAAATAACGTTTCAGACCTCTAACGTTTGTGTTGTGTAATGTTTGTGGGAGCTGCTCCGCACTGCTGTAAGCTCGCACGCTCACACACTTTGGCATCCGACTTCAGACAACCACCTTTCTTTTGAGGTAACTACAGTAACCTTAACGGTCACTCGTTTGTGAGAAGGTGATTAAGCTAGCTGCACATAAATTTGGAGTGCACACGTATTAAAGCCTTTATGGTAACTGCAAAGGACCAGCTCGAGCTGACAGGCAGGTTAGTGAGTCCTGCCAGTTTCTCTCCTTACAAAGACCAGTGTTGCAGTATGAGAGTCCTACCTGAAGAGAGGCTGTGAAGTCTTCATGTTACGCAACAGAGAACCACATACAACATTATTTATAAAACTGGTTGGACTTGATGAATTTAGCGAGAGGATAAAAATGTGACAACGTCAGTTTTTCAAAATAAGGTGCCTATACAGTATGGAATTAATATTAATTGGATTATATCATATTCACAGAAAGTATAAAACATATTACGTGTCCATTAAAAGTAATAAAAAGAAAAAAAACAACAACAATAAAATGTTAGGAAAATTACATTAAATACATTTGTTGACTTTTGTTGCTGTTTCATCACCATCTACAATGGGTTTATGATCAAACAGATTACTAGAGCACAACATTGTTTACAAGAGTGCAAAGTTATTCATAGATAGCCTCTTAATTTTGCACCAAATTAATGCATTTAACTTTAAATGTCCAAATTTCCTACCTGGGGGGCACGCCCCCGGACCCCCGAGAGGGTCCGAGGTCCACCCACCATAGTCTCTTAAAATCCTGTGGGAAACACTGTCCTCTTCTTTGTTAGCTAATGCAGCCTGTAAATCAGGCAAAGCTCTGGCAATGAACCGGCTGACTCTCACTAGGTTCTGTTTCAAGTTTCTGACCTCATTGCCCTAGCACGCTGTGCAGCGCCATAATACCGCAAAACACTGCAAAGAAACTTCTGAGGAGCTAAACCCCAATTTTCTACCCCCTATCTCAGCTACTGTGCCCTCTATACCACCCCCCACTGCCATACAAGGTTACCAGCAGGGATAGATGGGAGACAGCTGTGTACTCTTTGTGCTGGCATGTATTTGTGAGAAAAAAAGAGAGAGCCACCCAGCAGTAAAAAACAGTTGGTATGATCTCTGGCTTCCATGTGTACCCGTTATCCTCTTTTTCAACTCCTCCACTTCCTATCTCTTCGTCCATCTCTACCATTGGCT